CCTTTTAGGTTATTTTAGGGTTAGGAACTCCGTAGACATATCACCGGCAATAGCAGTAAGGGATGATGGGGTGATCCATAGGATCCAACCCAAGCTAGAAATGAGATACCTGGGATTCTTCTTGGATCCCAAACTATCATTCCGAGGGCATATTAAATTTTATGCCAACAAGGCAGAGTCCACAGTCAATACACTGAGGATGCTGGGTAATTCAGTCAGGGGATTCACCCCTGTCAACAAGAGGAGGCTATACATTGCGCATGTGATGCCCCTCATGCTCTATGGAGCAATCCTCTGGTGGAAACCCTCTTGGAAGAGACACAAGTGGGCTATAGGTGATCTACAGAGGGCCCAAAACAAAGCCCTCCAATGGATCACAGGGTGCTTCCGATCGACTCCGATTGGGGCAATGGAAACCATGGCAGGCATGTTTCCTGTCAAGGTGAATGTCGATAGATACATGGAGAGGTCGTGCCTCCGGGCTAGGACCCTACACGAGGGGCATGCCAATAGGGCGATACTATCTAACTATTGGAATGTCAACATGCATAACCTAGTGTCCCCCTTCCCTTTTCAAGGTGAAGGCACGCGGAAGGGTAAGCGCAAAGCGATCACCCCAGCTCATGTCATTGACAGGCTGGGGCGGCGATCATCGGAGGAATTTGCACCACTGCATTTGATCGCCGAGCCAGGCAGGCATATCAGGGACAAGTATCCTGATCGCATTACGGAACACTTTCTAAAGCCGGGATCACATCCGGCTAAAGGATCGGCTGAGTTTGAGGAGTGGTTCCAGAATATCTGGGTGCTGATCTTCCAGCAAGTGGTTAGGGATGAGAATGCTCGTTATCTCTTCACTGATGGGTCCCTCGTCCCCAATGGATCGAGATCGGGGTGTGCATGGCTCACTATGTCAGGACACAACTACCTTAACAGTGGAAAGTTTGGTGCGGGACGCTGCGCCATATTTGACGCTGAAATGATGGCATTGGCTAGGGGGATTCACAGTGCCCTTCAAGGTGCACCCCAAGATTGCACTCACTTAGTGCTATGTGTTGATAATGCTGGAGCATTATCCAAAATTCTCAACTGCGAGATGGGCCCCAGCCAACTGGTGTCCATACTTGCGGCTGAGAAGGTAATGGAGTTCCTCCAAAGGAGTGAACGACATCACATTTCCCTACTCTGGGTGCCATCTCACAAGGATGTCCCACCCAATGAGTTTGTTGATGAGTTAGCCAAATCGGCTCTCGAGTCTGAGCAGCCAGAATTTGTCTCCCAAGCACGAGCAATGGCGGACTGTCTAACCAGAGCAAAGATTAAGTGGGCGAAATATTATTCGTCCTACAAATATAGAGGAAGGAACATGTGGATCCTCAAGAACCACAATCCCCTCTCACATATGTCCGCTAGGGCGTACCCACTGCGATACCTGGGCAAGAATAACCAAGGAATGGCGCAAGCTGCTAGGGTATTGAGCAATCATTTCCCATGTGGTTCATACAGGGAGGAGTATCATATCCCTGGACCCCGTAATTGCCCGTGTTCGGGGACCCTGGACGATCGGGACCATACTCTGTTTGACTGCCCCATGTGGATCAGACCAAAACAGGGCATCGTGCAAAATTATGCACCGGACAACTTGCGCCAGGCACAGGTGCGACGTCAACGAGGATGGACGGAAGATGATGTTCTCATCTTTCTGCGACTCAACCCTATGGTGGCAACCTTTGAGTGGGCGGAAATCCTTGCTCAGGCTGCCACAGATAGAGAAGAGGGGGATCACTATTCGATAGCCAACGCCCTCCTTTACAGTCACACCGTGATGCGGAAATCAGCGTTTTCGGCCTTCTGTGCGAGGACCAACATGGACCCCTCGGACATTCACCCTGATACTAAGGACTATAAATTCTTTGTGGAGGAATACAATGCTGATGTCACAGCAACTAGATTAATCGAGGCATGGAAAAACGTGACCCCGGTATATCCTCCGCCCGCGTTTATTGCGGACACACAACTGGCCGACTATCTTGTTATCGAGCAGGATGGCCCAACCGAAGAGGGATCATCCCGCGCAATATCCCCCGCCGACTCGTCCGCGAGCGAGGGGTACGTTTCGGGGTGATTACCGCCCCGCATTAACATTTATTTACACTCTGCATGTACCCTACGGTATGGAGTATAAACCCTGGAATATTAAAAAAAAAATTAAAAAAAAAAAAATCTCCGCCACAGCCGGTTGATCCGAAAGTACTTCCTCATGGACATGTACAAGGCTATCGCTCTTCACGTTGTACCTCCTTCGCCTATGGCACCCTGGGATCGACTTGCCGAACATTCTAGCTTCCGAATCTGGCTCAGCGAACATCATTGCTGCGATGAACTGGAGAGGCACCTTCATCGGTCCATACTACATCCAATCAAGGTTTCCTCTCTTCATGGCGTACGAAAGCGACAAAATTGACAAGACTAGACCATTTCTTCCCGCGCAGCTTCCACAGGATTTCGACAGCCGTTCGCTTGAGGAACAGAGGATGCTCCGCTTGAGGCTGAGGCTAGCCATGTAACATAAATTCCATGTGCATTTGGTTTCAAAGGACGAACGTCGATTGGAAGTATCCGATATCCAACATCAGATGCATCTCGCAATGTTGCCGTGTCAGGGTGTCAGGTTGTGGAACGATGGCTGGCTGTCCATCGTGGACACTGCTGCGTCGTGGTCTCGTAACCAAACGTGTCGCTGCGTCGCTGCAAGGCCTGTGTCACGGTCCTATTTACTTTTCTGAAGACGAAGAGAAATATATCAAAGCTTTCCTTTGTCGCTCCCAAACTCACGCCGTTGCAATTCCCGACCTTTCAGACAAAGTTGGGGAACTTGGAGATGGGTGGATACCAATTCAGCAATATGACAAAGTCAAGGATTAGTGCGAGAAGGCTAGGTTAACGTGGGAGGAAGAGGCTTCTGGTGGATCCTTCCCGTATCAACATGGAATGCATTCGTTCTTTTTAGCATGAGATGTATATCAGTCGGATCCGGGTCCACTGCTTTCAAATTGTCTGTGTATTATGCGGTGCTGGGAACCTGAAGGAATTCTGTTCAACCGTAGCTTCGTTTAGTTTAGTTTACCGACGAGTCCAAGCTGCACCGAGGAGATCTCCACGATTCATCTCGATCCAGACTCAGGTCGAGGATGCCCTCCCATTAACTGAGGTTTCCAACCAACGCAGTTCCCGCCGCGGGCTCGATACTGCAAAGCCTGTCGAATGTACATCCTCTATTGCCACTGCGACACCAAGGGAGGAAATTGTGGCTAGCTGTGGGTGCGTCCAAGAGCAGAACAGTCGAGCGCTTCTCGTATCGAGGTATTCAAAGACTCCGATTCACCGCGTTACTCCAGCGTATATTTAAATCAGCTAATGACCAGTACGGCTCAGGATCATGCTATACAAGAGTACAGATAGGCAAACAGCGCCATATCTGTCGAAAGTCCGCGCTTTCACGTTCGTTACCGACTTCATAGAGATTGACCCAAGACTTTCAGGCTAAATAATCTCCTGTGTCTTTTTCTGAAATCATCGTTCCGTCCTTCTCCAGAGTTGGCACAGGAACAGGTACACCACCTGGTGTAACCACAATAATAGTCTGACCGGAAATAGTGGGCAATCTGCCCTGTTTCGAGGCGATGTCGTCGAACATGGATAGTGACCACGCATGTCCTTGCACTACGCGCATGACAATCAAGTCCGACACGATTCCCTGCACCGTATAGATGGATTAACCTCCTGCGTAGCGTATTATACAGATGTAGCGCAATACGAACCTGCAGTTGCACGAGGAGGGGGACAAATACATTTGCCCCAGTGCTGTGGGAACAGGCTAGTATCATCACGAGCAACGAGACGAAGCCATAGGGCAGCGCCGATTCCACGATGAGTGCTTTGATGCCGTAGGAGTATGTTCTGTTCTGCCCGGTAACGTCATCCGGGAGTTCATGTCCTAGTTGCACAGCACGAGTGAAGAGAAGGATGGTGAAGAGCGTATGTAAGCTCATGGCAAGGATTGTATAGATGAGAGGGCTGCCGAATACGGGACCAGTCCAGAAACTGTTGTCTGCACTTGAAACGGAATAGCACTGCACGATGGCGAAAGCTAGCCGTATGTTTCAACATCACATATAGTATCGAACTGCAGATTAGCTTACCCGTCGTCACCAAAAGCAGTATACCCATTGCTGTTAATATATACCATCTGCGCCAAAGGACATGAACACGATGCAGCTGTACTGATTGTGAACCCTTTTCCGCGCATTGTTAATTTTTCTCGCTCACCAAGAAGGTATCGGCGAGAACGAGGTTAATGACCCCAGTCGCTACCGCCGTAAGGTTGAGTGATGAGTTCTGGAATTTCGTGATATACGCAAATGCGCCGCCATTGAAGCCAGTGTTTTCAATCCATGCCCAGTCGTTGAACTCGATGTTACAAGCAATGTTGACGAGAGCCATGGCCCAGAGTGCGTAGACGAAGGACAGCCACGCCCAACGAGCATTGCCTTCAGGCCGATACTTCCAGATCCTAGTCACCGCAAGGTACATGATAGCGGTGTGTAAGCCTATCTTGAATTGTCAGTACATACGGAGCAGAGGAATGTGGTACGGTACCCCAAGCAATGGCAGCAATATAAACGCCAGCGTTGATGGAGCGGTTGAACGACAGTTGCTCGGCGGAGGTGACATATTCGTAGCTTCCATCGAATCCGGGAGTAGATGTAGCGACGTTGGTTGGGGAGACAGAGATGGGTATAGTGACAAGACCCCAGGAAACACTCGGCGAGACAGATGTCGAGGGGGCTGATGAAATCGAAGAAATGACTGAGGTTATCAAACTCGACGATGCAGTGCCTATTGCCGCAGTTGTGGAGATAAAGCCGGTGGACATTGTAAACTCGCGGGGGAACAGTACTGTACGGGGACAGTATGTTAATAGGCACCATCTCGCTGCAATGAATTATATCCTCTCAGTCCTTGCAGGGTCCAGCTGTAATTATGCGGCGTACTTGCCCCGCCATGTGAAAGCCTGAATACTGATGGAGTAGCGATAACCCGCAGCGTGCCATCGGTATCTAGGTCGACTAAGTGGGCCGCACTGAATCGCTGTCAGCTGACGGAACGCAGGCACCGGATACGTTCGCCGTGTAATGGATGAAGCATCTTTGTAGTTCCCGTTCAATGGCGGCAATGAGGACAAGCTGTGGATAAATTTCGAATTAGCAGGCTGTCCTTCACGAGAACACTCGGTATCGTCCTCTCTTGCTGTTCCGCATGGGTGAGAACCATTTTACATCCGCATATCGCTGCCGCAGCACCTTGAGATCTACCAGAAATGGGTATAGCACCATAAATAATGCAGGAATATCACGCCTCACCATTTATGCGCTTTGGGGAACCAATGTGACTAGGTGGCCTTCTGCACCAAAGCAATTGCCCTGTATTTTACAGCCGGCTCGAACATATCACATTGGGGATTGGGTTGAAACCTATGCGTGAACTTGCTTACATTATCCAGCTGCTGAAGTATCAAACTTATTGCAAGCCTCAACAGACAACTTACCCGTAACACCTATCGGTCCCGCCGCAAAGCGATCAATTATGCGCGAGAAGACAGCTGGCACCTACCCTGCCTGCACAGGTTAGCACCTACCATGTTGAGGCAGTCGAGACACGAATCATGCAGAGTGTTACGACAAGAATCAAACATTTGTGCACATTGCTTGGCCTCAGTGCTGCGCACTGTATCACCATCCTGCCAAGATCTTGAGTGCGTTAAGCCAGCTCAATCAGGATGCGCCGTGCTCACCTGCCTCGAAATGGAAGATTGCTGTCTCATGGCGCTGCGGAGGTTCTCAATATGGATCAAAAATTTGATCCGCATCGGTTCCGCCAGAATCAAACTCGTGCTTTGTGGGAATACAAGCGGCAGAGCCATTATATGTTGCCTGAAAACCTTCCGATTATGACGGATTATACACGTCAACAAGTGCATAACGATTTCAGCGCCGCGGAAATAGCTTCACGGAACCAGTGGATTGTGGCTCACCTTCAGAATGGCCCATGTGAGTCGTCTCAGCACGAGATAACATGGTCGTCGAGCGGTGCAGTTAGTGCGATGGTTTCGGAGTAGTACGCCCACCGTGTACGTCTCAACGGGAACTTCTTATTACAAGATGCTGCGGCGCAGTGCCCCCACTGTCGCCCGTTATCAAAATTAGAAATGCCTAGATAGCCACCAACGAGATACAACTTCATGTCAGAAGACGTGGTCAAAATGCCTGTTGCGCATGTTGCTATATATCAATCATACAGAAGATGCAATTCTGCAGCGGTATCCAAATCAATATCAATAGGGGGTCATAATAGTACGAGTCGAAGTTGAGCTATCGGAAGGTATTCACGATTCCATGCGCGAATGGACGATATGCAAGCTGTCATGGGTGAACAGGCGACTGATATTGGGTCAGATACACACCTAAAACTCAGCAATCAATACACTGCCCATGAGCTACACCAGAATACTCACCGCCTCTGGGAACAGCCTTCTGATCCTGCCAGAAATTCACGTTGCAGGAAGACATCGAAGACGTACATGCGAGTTCAAGCGTTGTAAACTCATTCGACGGGCAACGAAATTCAGATGAATTACTCGGCCCAGTTCTGGAGAACGTGAGAGTGGTGAGGAGCTCGCGTCGTTGGGGTGCGCGCTCCCAAGTCCCGGCAATGTGAGGGGAAATCTCGGTGGCGGTGTCGAGCGCCCAGATGTCGACAACGCTGGGATCGTTCACTTCAGTTTCGGGGTCGAACGGTTGTGTGTGCCGGGGAAGCGAAACTGTGAGTATACAACGCTCCATAGCATAGTCTAGGTTGCGGAACTGAATAATGGTTGACGTCTAGTGCCAGGTAAATTATCCAAACAACAAATCAATCAGTGGATCATACACACGTCTGGAGAAACAATAACATGGCGATCGTCAGGATACACAGTCCCCTGTGAAGACCGCCATTGTCTATGATCCTCACTCATCTTGCGCTGGTAGTCGGAAGTGCTGATCTGAAGCGCAAGAGGTGGGAAGTTGATGATAGGTGGAAACGTGTAGTTCCCATTCTGGAGGATCTTGTCCAGATTGACGTAGGGGTTTGGCCGTCGCAATGCTTGCCGATATGAGGGTTGTCCCGATATGCTTGTGGAGGACAATTGCCACCCTCCCAAGAAGACGATGAAAGATAAAGCGGAGGAGCATATAGCTCCGACGCATGCCCAGAACAACAGCCGGTCGTTCGGACCTGCTGAACGTTAGAACAACATCCGCAATAGGTGTGCACTATAATACGCACCGGATGACCTACGTGTGCTGCTATCCTCTATAGGCCGTAAGTCCTGCTCCGAGTCATTTGGGGAGGATGCTAGAGGAATATACTCTGAGGCTAGACTCATGGGTAATGGTTCGTGAGTAAGTTTAGGAAGGTTCATCCCATTTTGTCGTACGCTCAGTTGTCCATCACCATCTGTCATTGAAGGTTGATTCCCGGAGCGGGCAGACAAATAAGACGCTGAAAACTGAAAAAGGACGCCTGCTTAGGCGCCAGCGACAAGGCGAATATATGTTATTCAGTGATGACATTGACTGGGTCAAAAGAGTCAGACTGACCTTTAAGACCTCGGACCTATGTACGTTGGACTGACCCCAGGCCTAGCCAGAAGCTAGCCAACGGCCAGGTCCCATCAGATGACTTTTGTGATCGCGCATCGACCATTGACTCTCGTTATTGGGTCTGACCCTTATTTAACCCAAAGGGTCAATCACAAACCCTAACACCACTGTTATTCACATACCGTCACAAGAGGTCCTCAATACTAGAGTATAAATGGAAGTCAAATCCTCCTGAATTCGAAGTGCGATCGTTCAGTGAATAACTTCACCATGGTTGCAATGACAGCGACTTGCATTGACAGCAGCGCCTGTCTGGGAATATTCAGATACTAGTTAGAACGTGCCTTTGAGAGAACGGTCACGTGATCGCATATCACGGCTGGCGCTTGTGCGTACGCCACATTCGCGAACCGGTTGTCCACCTCCTCTGTTGCGAGTTCCTTTCTTCGCCACGTTCGCGACGGCGAGGTATAAAGGCGGAAATCTACGGCATTTTCCCTTCTCATCCATCTTTTACTACCTCGAAATCATACCATCATGCTGCCAACTGCTATAGCATCTATGACAGATGGCCTCCTGATATCGGAGAGTGATTATGCACAGCGATGCAAGAAGCTGCTTGCGCTAGTGAAGAGATTACGAGCCTCTGGGTAAGATATTTCGTCATCATTCTTGGTCGATTATCTTACGCCCATATCATAGAGCACAAGCAGATTTAGACCTTCCCCGCATTGCGGTCATCGGAAATCAGAGCGCAGGAAAATCCAGTCTCGTCGAAGCTATTTCTGGGGTAAGCCTTTCTCCGATTATTTTTGAATAATCACCAAACATTCTATATAGATCACTGTCCCGCGTGATGCTGGAACATGTACGCGTTGTCCTATGGAATGTCGCATGTCTTCTTCGTCTGGAACGTGGAATTGTCAAGTGTCCATACGCTGGGAATTTGGTAACGATGGGAAGCGGATGGAAAAGGTGAAGGAGATTTTTTTTGGAGATGTTATTACGGACAAAGCGCAAGTGGAGCCAACGCTACGCCGTGCGCAAGCGGCAGTCCTAAACCGCAGCGTGCCTATGACAACCTTCTTGACTCTATCCGACGATGAACTTAGGAGAATATTTAAGGACAAAAAGTACTCACCCTTATCTTTCTCTAGCAACGCTGTCTGCATCGACTTATCTGGTCCGGAATTGACTGATTTGTCGTTCGTGGATTTACCCGGTGAGTATTCAAGGGCATACGCACATGCATCTCGATTAATACATGTCTTATTATACCAGGCATCATTCAGAATGCTGAGCCGGAGACCGTGAAGTTTGTCGAAGATTTGGTGAAATCGCACATCAAAGGTAACTGCTTAATACTCGTCACTTTGCCCATGAGTGGTAAGTAATTGTCTACTCTTGTCCTACTGTTCATTAATGTGGATATGGTAGATGACATTGATAATCAGAAGGCAGCTCGCCTTGCGCGTGAGGCAGATCCTCGCGGTTTGCGAACTATAGGTGAGCGGCTACTTGTTATTCTAGGTATCTGGCCCATGACTGTGTGCACATAGGTGTATTAACTAAACCAGATACGCTTCCGCCTGGCTCTAGCAAGATGCGGGAGTTGTGGCTGGAAGTGCTTGAGGATCGAAGCTCGTCCAATCGACTTCATCATGGATATTTCTGCGTTCGACAGCCTGATGATGATGAACGAGCAGCTGGTATAACGACAACACAAGCTCGTGCTGCCGAAGAGGCGTTCTTCACGAGCACCTCTCCGTGGAATCAATCGAGCCACCGATCTCGTTTTGGGACGTATCATTTAGTACGGACACTCGGCAAGCTTCTGGTACAGAGAATCAACGACACGTAAGCTTTCACTCTGATATAATCTTGTCTGCTTGGTGATTACACCATTTAGATTACCTGCCCTCCGGACAGAGGTTGTTTCCCAGCTCGCTACTTGCAGTGGGCAATTGGATCAATTACCTCCCGCAATCACTTCTGATCCATCATCATACGTGTTGAGTATCATAACGGAATTCTGTCGTACTGTCAAAGCAGCTGTCCAGGGTGATTCCAAGATGGCTACTCTTGTGCAAAAGAATACCAGGATATATGCCGCATTCAAACGCGACATCCGTTCCACAGCTCCTCTGTTTATCCCCTATCCTTCGGCAGACCAAATGCCATCCAGTACTACCAATCACGTTAATCTCGATTTTGAAGACGACCAAGACGATAACGAACATGTGAATAATAATGTTCCTGCGACTCTTTCTGGTTTGAAAGTTATGTATCTCCAAGATGTGAAGCGATACATAAGAGAGTATGTGATTTGAGTGCTCCTCTTATTGTCTGTTGAACTCTACACTAGGGCCATCACGCGCGAACTGCCCAACAACGTCCCGTACCCTGCCAAGGTTTCACTAATCCTAGATTTTCAGGGATCGTGGGAGAATTTGGTTCAGTGTTGCTTTCAGAGGGTGTACGCGGAGTATGATGCGACCGTATCAGTCCTCATGACGAACCAGTTTGGTCGATATGAGAACTTGATAATGCATGTGAAGTGAGTCAGGCTTGGTATGAAGTGATCCGCTCGCCTAAATCACTGATCTTTCTAGGCTTGCTATACAGGAGTTACTTAAGAATCGCAAAGATGAAACGCTCAGGATGCTGCACATGCTGCTCAAATTCGAGACGACACCCTTCACGCAGAATGACCATTATTATCACGAGAAGACCGCGAAGTGCCTTGCAAGGTACAGGGATGCACGTGCGGGTAGGGTTACTCCGCTGAAAGTGACCAAAGCTCAGCCCTCTGGGCAGAAAACGAATGATGCTCAACCGTACGCGTTTTCCGCAACGGAAGGCCCTTTCCCCTCTTCCTCGGCTTCCAGTTTCCCTTCTGGTGACAACCTTGCACAGCTCAATCCAGCGATTTCTCCGAGTAACACTCCACTTTTTGGACCGCCTTCAGGATACACCAAGTCCTTCGCATTCGGACCGCCTGCTGCAAGCAATGCAAAGGCCACACAAGCCGCGGGATCAAAGAGTTCAGTTGCTGGCCCACCTACAACCTCAAAGCCTCTTGCGTCCTCATTTGCTCGGGTTGCGACTGCGAGGGATTGGGAAGTCGTACAGCCTACTACCCCCACTACTTCTTTTGCGCTTCCTGAAACAAATAATGGTTGGAATATGAGTACCCCATCCACGTCAAATTATGCGACACCCCACCCTTCGGGTTTCGCACCGACGGGAGCATCAGAGGATCGGGAGGCAGCAATCAAGGAAGCGCTCGCCGCATTGGCTAAAGCAGGATTTATAGGTTTGACGACAGATGATCTTGGAAAGCTGAATCCCCCCGATGAATTTGAAGACGAATTGAATGTGATGGCAGAGGTGCACGGATACTTCCAGGTCTCGTATAAGGTGTGTTCATTCGTACCAAATGTTCTGTGCTGTGCCTCACGCGAGTTTGTTTAGCGTGTAATCGACTACGTTCCTATGTGTATTGACCATTTATTCTTGTACGGAATGGCCGATATCCTGCAGGGATACCTGATCGAGAAGCTGAACCTCGGGACGTCTAAGGAGGCAGACAGATGTGCTTGGTATCTCGCTGAGGACCCGTACGTCGAGGCCACTAGGAAGGAGCTCTTGGCCAAAAAGGACCGACTTGAGAGCGTCCAGCTTGAGCTGAGCACGTTTCGCCTCTAGAGATTTGAGATTGTTGTTGGTCTCTGCTTGGTTGCGCGATTTCTCACTCTACACAGCTAGAACATACATATAATATAAGTCGGCCTGGGCCTATTGCATATATGTAATAGTAAAGTATGTACTTTCTTAATTCCGATGGTTCTTTGGTAGAATTGTAGGTGTTTAGTTCGGGTTAACCATCAGCTGATGACCGACGAGTCTGCGCTGGCTCGTGACTTTTGCGTGACCGCGTTCGCCGCGGCAAATGAGCTCGTCATTTCGGGTTTGTAGTGGGCGGCCGTTGTGCCCTTTGCTCTCCACATCCTACTTAGTGCGCTCACGCCTCAATTCTTCAATACCAAAAACCCTGCCTACCTGCGAAATTTGAGCTCTGGTATATAACGAATGGAATGTCAAAATTGCGAACTCAAACAGCGGCAATTCTACTGCGAGAACTGTCTGAAGCAGCAGTGCGCCTCACCCACCGTTTATCTGTCTACCTCTTCTGATGCAATGCAGCTTGCTTACTTTGCGGTTGCAAACAAAACATGCCACTGCTGACCGTGATGCGCATATTATATCTGCTCAACGTGCCCTTTCTGATGCAGTCGAGCCTGCGCGCTTGAGACGAGCCGATCTTAAAGGAACGGAAGAACGGATAAATGAGCTTTGGGAAGCAGTTGACGTGGTGAGGAAGTCCAATGAGAAAAGTGAGTCCTTGCATTTCATCAATTGTACGCTGTTTCCGTTCGTTGCACGACATGCGGATCTCCTGTGCTATGGAAGAAAGTCAGTGTAGTACGACACTGCGACAGCCATTACCCTGGACGTCAGTTAGATGGTCTTTAACAAGTGCTAAATTTCTTTTGGAGAGTTTGCTCGAGTTTTGATAAATGCATAAGGATTATCTATGGCAACATTATTCACTTTTATAGTTACCCTTTTACCTCTCCAACTCCTGGCGTGGTATACTTATCTAAAGTACTTGCAGCTCGAGAACAACTGCGCTTACTTCGCAACGCGCTTACAACGCGCCGGCGTACCCTTGCCATTGCGACGTCAACTTTTCACTACCAGCTCGCAAGTCCCCATGCTACCCTTGGTCTTGCAGCTACTTCCTCATCTCCGCCGCTACCACCACACTCGCCTACGCCGCCTGGCTCATACCCAATCGCATCGTCTCCTCTGTCCGCCTCGCCTCAACCAATCCGCCCATTATCCCACCGCCGAGGTTCATCGTCACATTCAATACCATCGCACTCTTCAACGCCTACTGGACCCTCTGCCTCCACTGCTATCCCACGTCCGGGTATATCGGCATCCCGGCCTACCTATCCATCTCCGTCGCCATCTGTTTCTCCCTCGCAAGTGCCCCGTGCGCCGCTCTCATATGTATCTACCTCGCCACAGACAGGTCGCGGGTCTGTTACATCTCCCAACTCATCTCCCCATCCTCCACTCTCCTTAAATCGTCCTGGTCTCGCTGTAGTGCATCCGTCGCTTGATGGAGGCACTGATGCGCTGATACGCCAAGTTGATGAGGCTAAGTATGACTTGGCGGCATTGTCTGATACCCTTGCGCGGGCACGGTCCGGGCTGGTTCAGGAGCTGGTCGAAGTGTTCAGCGTTGTTGAGGTGAAAATCAAGCTTTTATCTCCTTGCCGATCCTTCATGGTCTTTGTAGGTTGGCGGCCGTCCGCCGCTGGGTGGCAAGGCGGGCACGAAAGGCGAATGGACGATTGGGGGACTGGTGCTTCCTGTACCAGGGGATATTAGACGTAAGTTCGATTTACGCAGCTACTCTGTTCATATGTCAATTGAGTTTTAATAGGATATCCCCCGGATCATATAAACGCAGTACTGACGCATACCGTGCACTTTCTTACTTTGCTTGCATTTTACCTGGGAATCAAGCTACCGTTCGAGATCATGTGGAGTAGGTCAAGCACTCCACCCATCTATGGATCATCGACGGGATCCGCGAATATCAAAGGCAACGGTTTGCTTGGTGTCGGTGTTCCATGGATTGGGGCAATCAAGGGAGGCGAGAGCGGAGGGTGGTCGCGGTGTGTAGTGCCCTTGCTAACTTAGTTTCATATAACGTTGTTGTTGCTAATATACGCATGGCCAGGTGGTCTACGAAGCATCCGCTCCACGTGTCCGCCGCTTCCACACCATCCACATCGTCTGCTAATGCTACTCCTTCGTCGTCTCCATCACGGCCGACTGGCCAGGGACGTTCTGTGAGCTCACCGGTTGCGCCCTCCATCGACTCTTCTTCTCGTGCTCCCCTCTCTGCATCTATGGCAGACTCGCATTTCGAGGAACTGCCTAGTAGTGCGACAGCTAACGGAAGCTCGTTCACCACTGCTCTGGCGATGCTATTGTATGACGTGTGCTATCTGGCACACACACAAGCCGTCGAGATTCCACTCGCGCAGGCGGGAGAGGTTCTTGGAAACCTATGGGCGGTGTGCTGCAGCTCTGACCTGGGGAGGTGGGTGGCTCCTATGTCTACAATGACGCTCTGGTGTTGCTGATTTCTTTATTTTGCCATGTGCAGAAAGTCACATGCGACACACCCACCGCTCCCTGCACCAACGCCGGTGAGCTTCTCGCTCGATTTTACTCAATTGCTCCAAGCGATCGCGACGAATCCTGCTCGGCCTCGGGTGCGTGGGACTGGTGGTCGGGAACGGTGGAGCGCCGCCCAAATCATTGAGGAAGATGAGGACGAGTGGGACCTCGTGGACGCCAGCGGAGAATAGAATAAGTAGATGAGGACTTGGCGGATCGCGCTCGCGCATGGATGACTATTTTGTATTCATGGTTTGGTTTTTCGTCTGTATCGATATATTCTGTGCATGTATGTGATTTTGCTCTCAAGTGTTTTTCAATTTGTTGAACAGCTCTGTTGATCAGTATGGGCTGTGTATTTGCTGGAGTCGAACAAGCGTTGCTGGCTCGATATCAGAGTTGGTAGCAAGTTGTTAGCGTAAGATGGTCAGTCAGATTCACAGCCTCCCGGGCGGCACGGTCGGCACCGTGCCGGCTGATCCGGAATCGCACCGAATTAGGCAGGCAACGTTACTCATCCTTGATTATGCCACGCGCGGCGCCGGATCCGTTCGTCCTGCCATTCTGGCTTTCCCAGTCCATTCTCTTTCTTACAGTCCATACTTGACTCATGCGCCCAAGGCATATATAATGGCTGGTACATCTGAGCAGTTGTATGTCTCATCACCTGGCCCGTACATCATGGCGACCGCAACTCCCACTCATCCCCCTCTTTTACCCACAGAGTCAGACGTACCTTCACTCGCGCCTGGATCTTACGATATTGAGAAACAGCGAGAAGGACCTGTACATATATCCTCTCAGAGCGAGTATGAAACCGTCGTGTCTGAATTTCAGCAGTCAGATACTGTCATCATCGACTGGGACGGTCCTGATGATCCATTAAACCCAAGAAAGTTCGTGCTCGGTCATCCTAGCTGTGTCTGTATTATTCTAAGATATCGACCACAGTTGGTCAACAAGAAAAAAATGGGCGGCAGCCGCGACAGTGTCGGCATTCACGTTTATTTCTCCAGTTTCGTCTTCCATGCTTGCACCAGCAGTTGAGCAAGTGGCACAAGAATTCAACATCACCAACAGCACAGAGATTGCCCTCACTATATCCGTCTTCGTTCTCGCATATGGTGTGGATTATTTTATTTTCCAATGTTGCTCACGACTAATGTTGTTCTCGGGTTTCACAAGCCGTCGGGCCGCTGTTTCTTGGGCCTCTCAGTGAAATATACGGACGTGCACTCATTCTCCGAGCTGCAAACTTGTGGTTCCTAGGTACACTGTTTCCCATCCAGTCTATTTTCAATCTCATTTTAATTCCCCTAGCATGGAATCTCGGATGCGGCTTCGCTCAGAACAAGGGCCAATTAATTGCCTTCCGATTTTTATCCGGACTGGGAGGTAGTGCACCTTTAGCTGTGAGGCATTTACGAGGATCAATTACATAGACTGGTGCTGATCATTCTGATATAGACTGGTGGTGCAGTGCTTAGCGACATGTGGCTACCTGAGCAGCGAGGGGAAGCAATCGCGATATACTCTCTGGCACCCCTACTCGGGCCTGTAATTGGTCCGGTTGCTGGTGGATGGATCGCTGAAAGGTCTACTTGGCGGTGGGTATTTTGGTCTACAACCATCGCTGCTGCGATTGTCCAGGTCTGCAGTATACCTTTCCTTAAAGAGAGTGAGTTAGCACTTGTTCACCCTCTCACATTGCGGTGCTTACGATCGCTGTATTTAAGCGTTTGCGCCAGTGCTTCTGGAGAAAAAGGCAGCTCGCGTACGGAAGGAAATGGACGTCGAAAAGGGTAATCAACGTGCGGTTCGGACGGTTTTCCAAACGCCAGAGAGGGTGTAAGTCTTACCAATGAGATATTGTCGCAAGGAGCTGATCTCTCATTCTCGAAGGTGGAAACAACTGATCCTAAAAGCAATGGTCAGACCGTTCGTCCTCTTGATTCAAGAGCCGATCATTCAGCTAGTTGCCCTTTACCTCGCATTCATATATGGCGTCATTTACTGTGAGTATATCATGCACGATATCATCTTTCTCGACACTTACTTTCATATTTTTCAGTGGTTTTAACAACTATTCCGGACATCTTCTCGAATGTTTATCACGAGAATGTTGGTATTGGAGGTCTGCATTATATTGCCCTTGGCCTTGGTACGCGCATAAATCAAAACGCGAAATATTCGAAATGACCTATCTTGTGCGTGATAGGATTGTTTTTAACTTCCCAAGCCAACGCACGGCTACTCGATCGTGTCTACATCTACTTTAAGATGCGTAATGGCGGTGTCGGACGACCTGAGTTTCGACTACGTGAGTTAATGATATGTGCACTATGACCTTGAAGGTTGACAAGACGTATAGCTACTGTCCTTCCTGGCGCCTTTTTCCTGCCGATCGGGCTGTTTATGTCCGGGTGGGCGGCGGAGAAGCATGCTCCATGGATTGTCACCGACATCGTGGGTTAGATGATGACCAGCCTCTAGGCACTGCTCACCAATGTATTACAGGGCCTTGCGTTCATTGGATCTGGAATGATCTTAACATTTCAAGGGATGCAAACATATGTTATTGACGCTTTCACGACATACGCGGCGTCTGGTGCGTGTTTATCAGCGATGCAGTTAAAATACCAGAGTATATAATAAGTCCTTTGTCAGCTTTGGCAGCGGTTTCCTGCTTCCGCTCGTTAGCTGGCTTCGGCTTTCCTCTGTTCGCACCACCCATGTACAACGCGTTGGGATATGGAAAAGGGAACACTATCCTGGCAGCAGTTGCTCTTGCTATCGGGCCGCCATCGTACGTGTATTTCTTATGTTCCAACCTTCATTAAATATTCAAGTTCTTTTAGAGTTTTCATGTTCTGGAAATATGGTGACAGAATCAGAGGGATGAGCAGATACGCAGGGAAATCAGCACTTTCTGCTAAGAAGGAGAAACAGTAAGTGCTTGCGTTGTGCAACGCAAGCAGTTCTCGGGCTCATTCAGCATCTAGATAACATACATATCTGATAATTATACCAGAATGGCCCAACGCATCACGACCTGCGCATTATCCATATAATTGGCATAATTTAACTGATCGTCTCCAGTGACTTGATCTGCGTATCTCTAATAAAGCATATTCCTGGTGCTCCCTGTGAATGGCTTGTACTAGAGTTATACGGTGAGTTATCCTTCTGACTGTGTTCAATTGACTGAGTGTCTCAATAAACGGCGATATTTTATCGCCTTGAGGAGCCATTTAAGCATATCAATATGATTTAAATTGTGCCTGGGTTGGCGTTCTGCTCTCTAGAAGGTTACTTGCAAGTAAGGTTTGAATTTGAGCTGCCGTCTAGAGCGCCTGTAACACGTGCAATTGGCCTGTCGGCTGCACAACCTTCTGCTAGTGCTCGCCTTCTTGTCTCCGACTCTCACCATGGACACCATTCCTGAAGTTTTAATACCTGAAGTCTTGAAAGGTTTAGAAGATGAGCTCTCACGGTTACGAACGTCGCAAGAAAAAGTTCTTGCAATCGTCTCCCTCCTTCATCGTTTCACACCAGAATCAGCTGGCACTGCTGAGTTGTCGGCCTCTAGGGATAATTTTGCGGGAAATGAAGCATCAAATGAAGCACTTTTCCAAGGCATTGATAAGTTGGCTCATATTCACAACATCCGAGACGAGTTCGCCAAGATAATGCTTGATCAATCCCGAAGGACAGCGTCGGCCTATGACGTATCTCTGGATAGATCTCCCTGTGCGCATGTCGATCCACATGAATCGTTTAGCTGTCCAAACGAAGGGATCATGCGATGTGGGGGCTGCAAGCTTGCCCCCTACTGCTCGAAGGTGTGTCCTGCAGACAATGCGTGCTTACTCTATGTCAATATCTTTCTCGGTAGGAATGCCAAAAGAAGCACTGGCCGATGCATCGGAAAGGTGAGTACGTGTTGCATGCATTATATCGACATTGCAGTCTTATTTTCACAGACTGTAAAGATCCCATTCGTAGATCCGATTGGAAACCCGCTTGGATCGTCGAAGGGCGCCAACCGGAGTTTATATCTTCAAGTAGTAGCAATAATCGTTCGGTGCATTACGAGACGAATGCCAATCCGCTTGAGAGTATGAACCTGTTTGTGTTGTTTGACTTATATTCATATTACCTCCGATTGATGATAAGCGCCATTAGGTGGGGGAACATGCCTGCTATCGATGTCCTGAACATACGCCATAATGAACAGAAGGTCTCTGAAGACATGGCGATCGCCTTCATTGGTATGATCATGAATTTAGTCTTCCGTACTTTCACATAATGGGTGTTTTTAGCATCTGGCGATCTCCGCGATGTCGTACGCACCATCAATGAAATGCCGCACGATTACCCTGGGGAACTTACGGTTGTGCTCAACGACGTCAATCCAATGGTGGTGGCGCGAAATCTCGCACTGTTGCTAGTATTAGGCATGGCTGAGAACAAACGTCAAGCAGCGGACATCGCCGTCCATCTGTGGTACTCTGCATTCCTGCCACATATGTACCAGCTTCAGCTCCAACTCATAATCAGAGATATCTTGGAATCAGTAGATGCTGATGGATCCCTGAAATGTGACCTTTCTCCCAAGTCGCGAATAGAAGGCCGTCCAGGACGTGGTACTGTGGGAGTCCTCATCTCATGCTTACTTTCTCAGCCATTGTATCAAGTAGGTGACGCTCAAAACGAACTTGCTCGCGCACGGTACGCCTAATGTATCAATTCCTTTGCGCATCTATTCTGATCGCATGCTACAGGCTTTTACACGCGCGAGGGGATCGACTTCACCGCGAATACTGGCCACTTGACCCTTCACATCGCCTGGCATTTCATGAATTTCGCGTCTACGGCTTGTTACTTCCTTTTGGGGCGGCGAATGCGCATCTCAACACCCCAAATCGCCTGCTATTCTCACCCTCTGGACGATGGTTGCAGGCCGACAAAGTAAACCCCCTCAGTGGCTGGCAGTGGGTAATTTCAGACTATCTCCTGAACGTTCGGGTTGACTACGCAATACAGTTTGCCATCCGTAATCAAAGTGGGCAAAAAGCATGGAGCTTTACCGCTGGACATATACGGCTGCATGTATTTCTATGTTTCGGATCAATTGCGCGAGTTCGCGAGTCGCATTTCCAGCCTCCGCATCAAGTTCCAACTCTTCAATATGGATGCGTGCGAGCTCGCTACTGAACTCAGTTCTGGGGCATTGTCGCGCTATGGGCTATCTGCTGACACGCGCTTTGACCGGATCGACGCGTCTAACTTGATGGATCCTCATTACCTGGGAGTTGCGCCTGTCCTGAATTCGTGGGGTTCACTCTTGAAGCAGAATTCGCATGCAACTCTTCTCGCACATTTCATCAACTGGGTATCCGCTCAGCCGAAAGGAGTACCTGGGATGCTAGACATTCCACGCATCATCATGGAATGTCGTGCAGATAAACTGGTATGCTTACTTGCACTATCCGCAGATTCACTCTCATCTGTCGGTAGATTCCAGAACCCCCACCTAGGTGTACACGGGAGGTCCTAGATGGTACGCGATTGTTCATTTCTTCGAAACATTTCTTACCAATTCCTGCAACTTCAGAATATACCATGATGGCTTCTATTTGCTATACACAGGCTTTTAATGCCCGTTACGAAAACTCCAAAGCTTTTAAGGAGTACTTAGATAGCCAGAATCTTCCATCAGTGCTACGCACCTCAGGTCTTCGAGTAAAACGGAAGCACACCATTGTGCCGCATGTACGCGCAGTTCTATTGATTCGTTTGCCTACAACACTAACATGAATTTCTCATGCGTATGTAGCGTCTTGAGGGATCATTAAAGTCACCGAGCGCGCTCCCTTCATTTCCCGATGCCCAGAGTATATACCTACACGTGAGTCGCAAATGTCACACGCTCTATCGTTTGCAGAACTCGCGCGAACTTACTCTCTCATAGATTGCCGTCAGTGATAATACGTGGGCGGAGCGTTATATGGAACTGGGCAGGGTGTGAACTCCTTCATGTATATGTCCATGCCGAATAGGTCTATCTCTCAGTCTGATTGCATACCAGGCTCATTATCCCCTTTGGATTTTGGCATTTGGAGAAAGATTTATCGGTCACAAAATCTGTATCACGTGTATGTGCGAGAACTTAAATCAAATCCTACTGAAGCTCAGTGCAGAACAACCAACCACTGGGTCCTGCACTATGATTTTCTAGATAAGCTTGTTTATGCTCTGGATGACCATCCATACGATTACGAACAGATGCACAATATTGAGGAACCACCTCTGGTGATGCTAATCCCGCCGACATTTCCGCTATGTTAGCCATTTCCAATATAAATAGAGGTCTGTTCTAGACCACTGCGGTTTGCACTTCGTCAACCCTCGACAAAACTTCAAACCGTCTAGATTACATTTTTGGTGACTAGACCTAACTAAATTAAGGTACGATTAAATCGGAATAATCAATGCGCCGCGACAAATCGTGTCTCTTCGAGTCCTTCACTCCTCGCTCACTGGATCTCGACAACGATGTTACTGACTTCGTACACTCGCATGTGCGATGCCTGTTTGTCAGATGTAAATAGGTGCAACCACAAATTCAAAGGCACACGCACTCCGACGAGCTCCAATTGCGTTAGACTGAGCGCATATGCTCCCGACGTTCCAGCTGGCACTTGCACACTGAAGTTCTCAAAGGGCGCACCGGACGGCGGTCCCCCAGACCCGAACTGTGGGTTGAAGGGTCCGAGGTACAGGAGATCGCCAACTTCCTGCGACGCATTGTATGCGTTGCAGTCTACCTGCTGGCATGAGGCGAGCCCGAGGACGATTCCAACTTGATTCAAGTTTTCGGGGTAGTCCTGCGTCGCGTTGCCCGACTCGTCAGCGCGCATTCGCATATAACACTCGACCTGAGAAATCGCGCACCCCTTCCTCTACCTGAACAGTGAAGTTGGCACCAGACGCGATGACGGCGCCGTTCGTTGGGGATGAGATCAAGGCACTCTGGGCTGTCGCCACGGCAGCAAGGGAGGCGATGCCGGCGAAGAACGCAAAGACCTTCATTGTATAGTGAGTTTGGTGGGTTGGATGAAAAGTGTCGGAGGTGGGTAGCTGGTATGCAGGACGTTGGGCGGGTCTATGCTGACATTCGCTGCATTATATACCCTGTCGTACGCTCGCGATACCGGCTAGATGACGTTCTCGGTACTGGATGACGGCACTGCTGCGCACAGCCGCCTGGGCGATTATGAGCGCGAGCACCTTGTTAATGGCGGTGCTCATCATTTTTAAAGCCAGTGTGCTTCCCAAATTGAGCGAAATTAGAGGGGATCTATGCTGCGAACATGCCGGCGAGGACTGAAAGGATCATTTGCGCGCTGGCATCATTCTTGTGGTGTAGGCTACCGACTGTCGTGTGATGGAGGGACAGTGGAGAGCGACGCACACCGGTGCTGACACAGTGCGCCTTGGTCGGGTCACCGGGGATGTCGCGAATAGCGATGCGTGTGCGAGTGAGTGGAGGCGTCAGCTCTCTCCACGTTGAAGGAAGGCTAGCCTCGCTTTCGGTATGTGAGCACACTGATTGGGGAATTATCGCGGAGACGTCGACGCGGAAGACCTCGTCGGTAGGCCGCGGCATTGCAACCAACGTGGAGCCCGAATCGGAACCTTATGAGACTCGACGGATCGGGATGACACCAAAACCTGGCTGTATAACATCTTTAGGACTTAAAGTTTTAGGTTTAAGTGGAATAGTCGCTCAACATCATAGCGCTCGTTGAGGCAGGGATCATTATGTCAAACTTTGATACACCTTGCTATGCATAATAGCTCGGAACTTATGTGTACAATGCAGATCAATCAGGTTCACAAGTACAACATGAGTACATATACATACAATTCCAATCGCAAGCGCGATATAATCAGCTTCTACAACATCTAGAGCAGCGTTTTCAGAGTCTTCAGCTTTCCAAAAAATCGAGAGCGATCAACAGCGGAACAGGAGCGAGCATTGCGTTTGACATCGGAATAGATCATGCAAACTTCAGCTGCTTTCCTGTCGGAACATTTCGTCTGGGCAATCACAGCAATATGTCAGAATATCCGTCCGAACTAAGCATAGCATCCCGGACTCGACTGACCATTGAAAGGTTCGTTCCGATCAAAAGATCGGGACTTCACAAACGCGTGAACGCGTTCGCCAATGTCACTTGAGATTTCTGTAATGGTCCTGTTCTCTCCTGAAACAGCAAGTCGCCACCATCTCCCAGTGGCGGTTATGCTTATCGGCTCGAGAGTGCGGATAGAGACACTCATAGGTTCTCTGGCTAGTCCGTCAGATAGCGATACATACTGTGTTTTGGAGCCATGGCTTTTGAGCAGAGGAATCCAGATCTCAGCCAGGCGGCTGCATAAATCGGTAGTCTGATAGACATGATTGACTAGCTGGACCCACAGGCTGATGATACTTGAACTTCCGAGGACTACCCGTAATACGTCCTGGCACCAGACTGAGTTCAATACATCTCCTCCTTATGAATATCTTCACTAGTCTTACTCACCAGACGAGGGTCGTATGGATCCAGCACAGCCTGCAAAGCTCTAAGCATCTCAATCGCGGCGCGACACGAACAAGATCTTTCCAGAAGTTTATGTCGACGCTTTGCATGTCTATGGTAAGTGCGAGTACAACAGGAGAAACTGCTTCCACTGCTTCCACAAGCGTTGCTAGGCTATGCGAGATCAGGGGTGGCGTTGGGTTTAGGTCAATGGTGCCATTCGGTCCAAATGCCATCTCTATGGTACCCCTAGGACGATCAGAGTAATACGTCTGAAAGACACGGACGGAACACGTCAGACCCCACACTAGAATGTCTTGTGAAGTACTAAATACGAAGTCCAGCTTCGGCCAGCATGTAGACTGCGCGGAGATAGTCTGTATTTCCTGCAGGTAGAGCTCCTCAATGTTCGGGAACATACGTACGACGGAGGACCGGGGCTCTGCACAGCTAGCGAGTCCGAGACGGGGGACACTAGGCAGAATAATGTTGGAATCATCAATGAAGGTACTATTGCTGGATGAGAAGAATTTGAGCTGGAGATCCTCGAAGAAACCGATTGCTGCCATATGGCTCCACAACGGCGCCCATGCACTCGCTGTAAGACTACTGGTGCAGTGATCGAGATACGTCATTCGGGGCCTGCTTTGTGATCGAGTTAACATTCTCAACGTGTGATGGCATATATGAGAGAGGATAATATGAGTTAGTGACGTTAATGCCGCAAATGGGTCAATGAGTCGTGGCTCAACTTCGAGCAGAATTTGAACATCCATGAGCAGAATCCGTCGGAGATTGGAAGCCTGACCAAGGAGGTCCACCAGACGGGGACCAGGCAAGTCCTAAATCAGATTTAACTCGCCCTCGTCTTCGTCTACATGATTGAATTCATCGACGATTGGCCCTATAAAAAGATACAGGTCGCGCAAGTGATGCAACCGGTTTGGGATGTCTGCGAGCATGTAGTCTACCATTCTGAAGAACAACGAATGGTTGTTGATGAAGAGTGTAGCGAGGGCCTGTCGGAGGGCGATGATATGGATCCGCTTAGAACGGTACAGGGCGAGAGCATTTAGAGGATGAAGAAACGACGCGACGTGATCGAGGACATCATCATCCAGCGAGAGGAGCTCCAAAGACATGGCATCTAGGATTTACAGGAAGTAGACGAGCACGCAAGAATGACAGGATAAACGCGTTGCAGAAATGTACACGAAGGTGAGAGTAGGAACATAAGGTCCTTCTAATGGCGTCCGGACGAAGTTACAGTCGGAGCTGATCGGAGCTGAGTTCAACGGGACGCGTCGTGACAAATCCCGTGACCCGTGACCGACATGCCAGCACACGCCGCGAAATTCGATCGGCTTGTCCAATTTTTAGCGATACAAACGTTATTAAAATCGTATGACGTTGTCACTACGATCCGCTGCCTCTTTCGCATTCGATTTCTACGACATGGACCCCCCGGTACAGGAGAGAGATTACAAATACTCGAGTGCTCCGGAACGCGGCTGCCATGCACTACTTAAGCCCGAGGGCTTGCACTTTCTCCTGATTTTAGAGTACCAATGGTGTGCAACGTATCCTAGACACTGGTATGTACTGGCTATGAAACCGTTGGGTATATATCACTTTGACTCACGATGAGGCATCCGATTATCGTCGGCGCGTCGCCCCAGCTCCGTTGATCATCATCAGTCACTGCCTAGTACATGGCAAGTTCAAGACACTCCCGTTCCTTGGGAGTGGGGACACATCCATCGGAGATTCCTATTTCACCATTTTTCCGAAATCGGAATATCCTGCTAGTCGTTCCGCTGAGTGGTTATCTATTCCCTCATCTATTCTCTAGGCACAACCGCACCGTACATGTACAGTGTTCACTGCCTATTAGAGCCTCATACGAGCGCCCAATCACGTGAACCAGCATCGAAAACGCGTCCCGTATCTCCGCACTTTCAGCACACTCCCTTCGTCCCCAGCCTTTCTGTTTGATTCATTTCTACAGGCTCTGCTCCTCAAGATGGATCTTCGTAGAATTCTAGACTATGAATATGTTGAGGATGAGTTCCTTCTCACCAGCCTCAACCTAGCGGAAAACGGATTCGAGGCGATGGTTTATGACGCCTCCCTCGATAGATCACCTTGCGCATATGTTGATCCAAGCACAAGAATCAGTTGTCCCAACGAAGGTGTCCTGAGATGTGGAGGCTGCAAACTTGCTCCTTATTGCTCCAAAGTACGTAGTTCATCCTTGCTGCTCCGATTCATACGATCGAACTGTCCCTCAGACATGCCAGAAAAAGCACTGGTCCTCGCACAAAGCAGGCATGCATCAGCGATTTCTAATTGCGTCCACGCCTTACATCCTCTACTTCAGCTTGCAAGAATCCAATTCGTGACCCGGATTGGAAGCCCAGCTGGATTCGGGACAAACGTCTGCCGGACTTTGTGGTATCTGAACCAAGCGCCAGAAATGGGAGGCCCATGGCTTTCTCGTCCAATGTCGGTCCAGCAGTGGAAAGCGTCAATATGTGAGTTCCACGACAGCTCAGCGCTTTAAGTACTATATATAATTCCGCGAACAGGTGGGGAAACATGCCTGCAATAGACCTTCTCAACCTTCTCCAGAAAGAAGGGACGCTTGACGACGATATGGCGATTGCTTTCATAGGTAGCTCTTTTACTCCTGAGCTTATTGCCTGACTAGCACTGAACAGTATGACCCTAGCATCGGGCGATATGCGCGACGTAGTCCGCACCGTGAATGAGTTGCCGCTCGAGTATACAGGCGAGCTCACTATCTTGATCAATGACCGCAATCACATAGTTCTCTCACGAAACCTTGCACTACTGCTGCTGCTGGGCACCCTCGAGGATAAACGTCGAGCGGCGGATATCGCGGCCCATTTCTGGTACTCCGCCTTTGTTCCAGAACTGTACCACACGCAGTTGCAACTTGTCATGCGCAAAGCATTGGAATTCATACCCCATCACACTGGCGACGTTACATGTACGCTGACACCTACGTCTCGTGTTGAGGGCTGCATTGGCCAGGTAGCCGCCAGTTATCTGGGGCTATGCTCAATCATAAGCACCGCATACGATGCCAATGACGCACTCAACGAACTTTCGCGTGCACGGTATGTTGTTTCTCCTCAAACTCGAGGGGGATCGATCATTCAATGATATCCTGTAGGCTTGTCGAAACCAGTGAAGATGGCCTCCACCGTCAATATTGGCCACTTGAATCATCTCATCGACTCGCATATCACGAGTTTCGAAAGTATGGTCTTCTCCTTCCCTTCGGCGCAGCGAACGCACACTTCGACCATCCCAATCGACTGCTCTTTTCACTCGATGGCAAGTGGATGCAACCTGATAGAGTCAACCCACTTAACGGCTGGCAGTAAGCGATCATTGTGCCGATTGTCTACCTCCTCCTCATCCACCCCTTCGATAGCATTCCGTCTGTGATCAAGACGGGGAAAAAGCACGGTGCTCTGCCAATGGACATCTACGGGTGCCTGTATTTCTACGTCACAGACCAGCTGCGCGAATTCGCAGAACGCCTCACCAAACTCCGTATCACATTCAAGATGTTTGGCATGGATGCAAGCAAACTTGCTTTAGAGCTGAAGTCTGGTAGACTAGAAACTCATGGAATTCCAGCCAATTTCCGCTTTGACCGTATCGACGTGTCGAATCTGATGGACACCCACTACCTCGGTGTTCGGCCTGTTATCCAATCGTGGGGTCCCCTACTGAAGAAAACCGAGCATGCGACGCTTGTCGGTCATTTCATAAACTGGGTTTTAGGACATCCCAAGGCGGTGCCTGGACACCACGATATAGCACGTATCAAGAAAAAATGCGAAGAGGAGAATTTGGTATGTATAAGTGTGTACCATCGCGATTCTCCTGCTCATATCGTACTAGGGTCCAGCAGTTCCACCGGAGAGCTCGCGCAATGTTCACGACGGTATGTCATCTATATTTCCGTTGCCACATCTGGCTGTTAATCGGTACTTTGTTTGCTCAGCACACCTTGAGCGGTCGGCCATCTTCTTTACATCCGCATACCATGTGTTGTACGATAGTTCCGGGCCTTTCCAAGAGTATTTATCGAATCATAACATCCATACGGCGCTTCGCAAGACTGGCCTCAAATTAAAGCGTCACCACGACCTCGTTCCACATGTAAGCTGATAATTGCTTGCATATATGCCTCATTTCGATGAAATGAACCCCAATATGCAGAGACTAGAGGGATCGTTCAAAGTGCCCAGTGCCGTTCCATCGTTCCGTGATGCTCGGAGCTGGTACCAGAATGTAAGTCTTTCTAGAACAAATGTTCCATTCAGTGCTTGAATTTATCTCTTATGTAGGTCACGACCAGTGATCATACATGGTCTGAACGCTACATAGAGCTCACATGGGCATAACTTGCACAAGGCAGGTACCGCGATCGAACTGCTAATATTGGTCTTCGTCTGCCTACCAAAGCTTATTCTCACTATCTTCTCGTTACAGATATCAAGGTATCCCGATGGTTTCCACGACATTACCATCTCTACGCGGGACATAGGTCCTGCAATATTCCCCAATACTTACTCAATCTCCTACATATTATGCCTTCCTTTCCGTGTATCTCTCCAAGAGCGGCCAATATTTATCTTGTACTGCACTTGTCCATGGTTTTCGCTGTAGCCCTCATGTGTGCGCAATGTATACATAGTAGATTGTGAGCTTTTTTGGATCCTTTTATTGTCCGCGAGGGCCGGGCCCTATGTAGACAGTAGATACAGCGTGTACGTAGTTCGTGGGGTAAACTATTAAGATCGAGATGGAGGCATTGGACAATTGTGAGCTTAATCCCGTCTTCTGCTGCACAATAATCATTTCTAATAAATGCGCTTTTGAATGCCTTTCACGGATGCGTTGTGATGGAACCTCGTGATCTATGGCAGGCATTCACTTGGTGGTGGTGGACACTTGCCGCAGTGTCGTCAGATTCCTGCCGCGTTGCTTTGTACCGAGTCAAAGACGCTGCTTGCTACTATCTGCACTCTCCTCACCATCAACGACTATAGCCTAGATGTCTATTAACCTTTGCTCTCTCAACGACGATGTACTGGCCTACATCGTCTCGTTCCTTGCCACGCAGGATGCTGTCCGGCTATCGTTATCATCGAGGCGCATATATCCTACTGCGAGAAGACACTCTCTGTCGACTATATCCATCCACAATCCCGTAGCACTCTCTAGGGTTGCAGCTTATATGCTGGAGGATGCCTCAAATCGACTTTGTTTTGTGCGCGAGTTTCGAGCAACTGAGAATGCATTCCCCATTGAATCGATCAAGCCAGAAGACGGCTTCGACTCATACTTTTGGACGCATGGATATCAAAGAGATCACTCAGGCGCTCACGCTATTGCGGATCTACTTGAGAGTGCGCCAAATATACGATACATTCACCTGGAGGATGTCGAGTGGATGATCAAGACAGAACCTCGCTTGGGAAGAGCACTCGCCGCTCTTCCCGCTCTTTCGCATGTCTATCTCTATGGCGTTGGGAGCACCTCTCTCCGCTTCTTGGCTCAAATGAACAGTACTCCTTGTATTTTGGTTTTGCAGCACCGATTCGAATGGTCATTTAAAAGGAAGGATCTATTTCCATTCGCTCACAGCCACTCCTTGCGCAGGCTACAAGAGATCGAACTCGCGTCCTTCAAACATGGCAGTACTGCGATCCCCAATCATGGCTTCCAGCTCCCCATTGTATATCGCTTGAAACTCACAGACTGCCACGTGCCTTCTTCGGCGATTGTTCGTATGTTCCCTAATGTCCGCGAACTATCTCTGTGCAACGTGGTTGTAACTTCGGAAGACGGGTCAGAGGTATGCTGGCCCAAGCTGGATCGCGCAGATGGTCGATTATTGGACTTCTCCATATGGAATGTGACTAGTCGAGTCCGATTTCTCCGATTATCTCTTTTGAGTATCGACGACCCCATCGAGGAAAATTCGAACGGAGAGATATACACAGAAACAATAGCCAGGATAGTTGGCGTCGTACATAATACCTGTCCCGTCATTCTCGATATCACTGTGCACGGAATTAAGTATCATCATTGGATCAAGTGGGCGGATGTAATATACGCAGCACCGAGTTTGAGATGTCTGATCCTAGAGATGGATATAAAGGATTGTTCGTCTTCGTTGACATGGATCGTGAGCACATTCAGCCAGTTTTCTCGATATAAGCTGTCTGACGTATCCTAGGGTACCTTTGTTGAGGCAATTTCGCATTCGGATATAATCTCTGTACAACTTCGAGTCGCAATCTGTGGCTCGGAAACTTCTTATACCATTAATCAGACCGTCGAACAATGGACGCCCTCTTACGCCTCGCACAGATTGAAGACCCAATACATTTCGATCGTCAGCACCCACCCGATGAAAGACGAAAACGATTCTGGAACTACACTTGTCGCACCTGCTCAGATATGGTGGCGCATATCAGGATCTGGAGAGGATCGAGTTGTGAGAAAAATCTCAAGCGAGATCGGAGAGCGTTTACATGCATACGTGATGTCTCCGGCCTTTGATCCATCAGCCCCATTCAATGGTATATTTTTCATGTCAATCAATGCAGGGATTCTAATAACCTCAGGTGTTTGATAGATTCAGACTTTATCTAACATTCAACGCAGTGCAATTCGTGAGTGCATGTGTGCTCATCACATAGGTACCCTGATTGTATGTCCTCTTCTTGTCTTCTGCTTTGAACAATGCTGATCTATGGTAGGGTCACTTCGCGCATTGCAACATCGATGTTTCATTACACTGAATGTGCTCAGGTCGATCCTATCGTTTTCATTGTCCAGTTCCACCAGTTCTCGTCCATCAAATATCAACCGCTTTCGCCGCCCCCGAAGTAGAATATTCCATTATATCCATCATTTCGCTGTCGATATCCATCTTGAACTTTGGTTTGCTCGTTTCACAATTCCAGTGACTCCTTCAATGGGCTTATTGCGTGTTGCTGTCCGTCGATTTCATGATCAAGCTGTCCGCTACCAGAATTCCAACTTATATACATCTCAACCATCCATGATAGAACACGTAACTATACCAAGTAACTTTCTCTCACACATCGTGCATTTGGTCCTGCACCAATTGATCCCCGAGGGCATACCATTGATCGAATACCGGTTACATCAATCCCGTAGCAATTTTTTGCCGCAAACGGGCTCGCATACCCACATCCCCGAAGACGCTCAATATGCCGCACTTCATTCACAAATTGGATTCCATCACTGTGGCTCAGCCTGCCGGAGGTGATAGGATTCATTTCGGCGCAATGGAGCATCTTTCCAGCTCTAAATTGAACGTTGCATGAACAGGCCTTCGTCCGGAGAAACAGCTGTACTAAAGTGCCAGAGCTTGAAGGCATAGCGGTGTGCTTGATGACACGCAGCCGTGATCCCATCCTCGTGGTATCAGTGGCCTGGGTTTTAAATTTTGGATTCGCATTGGACATCATACATGTGCGTCGTTGCCGTGCGTGTGGATGGTGGTATATGGTTAGTCCGATATACTTCTCAAACATACAGGTGTCTGAATACGAATGGGATGCACAATCCATAGTACGTAGAGTATTAGTACATGTACATGTCGTTTTGGAAGACCATCCGGTCGGTATCAATACGTGTATATCGTTCGCTCATTGGTGCCTGGAAGACTCAGAACGTCGTTTCTCAACGACAGTGTATACAAACCAAAGTAAAAAGCAAATGATGTATGTATTACAATGGTTATTTAGCACTCATTCTTCCCGCTCGATGGTAGTACTACGACATCGGAGTCAGCCCTTGCATGCGCGCCATAGATCGAGTCGTCACGGTGAGTTTATCCCTGGGGTAGATTTCGACCCGCTTCCCCGGAGGCGGTTGCTTCGAAAAAGCATCTTTCGAAGGATCCGCTTGATGTCCTAGCGTTGTAGAATTCCCAGGTCCCATGGCGGACCCCGTCTGCACGGTTAATGAAGGAACTGCTTGCTCGGTAAGAGGAGATGACGCCCGGCATCCTGGCCTCGCTACGTCCTCACATTCCACCGTGGACGCCACCTGCACCGATGGCTCCTCTAGAGAATTCTTCTCAGGAGGAAACTCGCCAATTATTATATCACCCATTTGTTTGAGCTTGTGCGACACAGCGGTGAAAGTCCTGCTGAAAATGCCACCTAAGTCTCCTGCAGAAGTATGATCAATATTCTCTAGATCCTTCTCCACTTCCCTATAACGATCAACTAGACGAGCCCGAAGAGCCCGAAGAGCGCCACCAATAGGAAAGATGTTCGCATGCAGGGCATCGATGGCAAGGGAGAATTGTCCCTCGTATCCTATTACCTTGTCCCGTTTTGCGTAGTTTTCGAACATATTCGAGGCCCAATGTCGCTGTGACTGATAATCGTGTGCTGAGGGCTCTTCACCGTTAACTGAGACAACAATCTTCCTGAAGATAACGTAGACACCCATCCACCAAACAGACTCAAATTCGTGGAGAGGATTATATCGTAGAGGCGGAAGAAGTTGTTGGGTTTTGTTCAGAGAAGTGTTAAGCTTCAAGTTATTTGCGAACAGCTGATCAATATCGTCTTCTTCGGCGAGGCGCGGAATGAATATATAATTTTGCTCATCGACTTCTACCGCCATGAAGTCAGCTGTTCCCTGGGGTGTAGGATAAGGTGAGACAAAGTAAGAAAAATGCAGGATGAAAATGCGTAGAATCACGCACAGTGCGTATCTCGTGCTGACTTGTACCATCGAGTCGTTTCGCGTATTCAAAGTCAGCCAGCTTAACGACCCCATCTCTCTCCAGGACGTTTCCTAGACTTATATCACGATGAACCCATCCGGCCTCATGTAGACGCTGTAATACTAAGTCACCATAGATGAGAAAAGTGAGCATACATAAAGCTAGAATTTCACCTTGAGCTGTCTGAGCAAGGTCATCGAAGATGGACATGATCGAAGTCGACATGAAAAGCGCTTGACAAACTTCGACGAAGACAATTCGATAGTGAACCTTGGGGTGATAGCGGAACATTCGCTGACCGGGAACGGAAGAACGCTCTGTACGACTGCGATGATCCCCTTTAGCTTCCTTTGACCCGCTGGCCTTGTCATCGGTGGATGTTTTCTGTTGTCCAGGTTTTCTGTTGTTAGGTTGTTGCACAGTGAATCGACCGGGTCCAGTTCCCACATCCCTCCCTCTTGTCATCAGCATCCGCGTGTTGTCATCAGCCGTATCAATTTTGACGTCGCCGTGGCACACGACCGTCAACAGATGCTTATCGAGGAATGCACGTCCTTCCGGGTCTGGGTGAGACCTGCGAACCTCCTCTAGAATGTCACCTTCTCGCGGTCGATCGTCGTCTATCCAACAGTCCTTGAGCACGACTGGGGCTTCACGCTGCTTTCCATCCACAAGCCTTTGAGCCTCCCACACACGAGTGCCGTGTCCGCGCAGGGCGTTGGCACCGATGTCGGAGAGCATTCTAATCGTCCGGTATATCTGCTCTGATCCATTGTTGGCATTACGCACAGTGATGTCGTAGCATGGTTCTGGCGAGGCCCTCTTCATCTTTTGGGAGACAGCACGGGTACTGGACACAGAGACGATCGTGGGATCCCATCCGAGTTCCGCCTCGCTAGCATACGCAAGCGACAAGATGATACGTACAAGTGTCCTATGATCCTACTAGCCTGTTAGCGTGGCCTCGTACTGAACATCATCTACATTACCAACCTTGACAAAATTGAAGGAGTTGGTGACAACAAGGTTAGCACGGCTCGCATACCATATCCGCATATTCACGTCCTCGATAGTCATTCCGTAGACGAAGCGTCGCCGCGGGTCATTGCTCATGCAATGGTTCATGCCAAGGAGGACCTTGCTCACATTCTACATCACGCATTAGCTAGCTCACAGAGCACAATGTGTGAGACAAACATCGTTGCGATCATCAATCCTGTCCTGTTTCTTGTACTCCGCGCAAAGTGGAATGTGTTTCCAGTGCGAGCCAGACACCTTTTCGCGAAAAAAATATCCGTCCGGGCGGGTGTAAGAGTCCCTGTGCTCCGATTGCGGTATGGTGGTCGGATGGTTTGAAAAAACAACTGTGGGTTCAATGTCTCTCAAGTCACTGGCTGCGATGATGGCTACAGCAACATTCTGGAGGGGGCGGAACGTCTCATCTTCAACGAGTTTAGAAAAGCGGGGATCCACCCTGAAACCTTTCCACCGGTTACCCCCCGTGATCATAGCCCCACGCTTTAGGGCTGCAATAACATGATCAAGGACTATTCCCGGGCGAAGCTTTGGGCAAATATCTTCGAAGAACGAATCGAGGGTGATTTCGGGTATCGCTTCGCCTGCATCCTCAACCACGGCCTTGCCTCTTTCAGTCGAACTGTCATCGGGATATGAGCTGCTTGATGTCTGCTTCACGCGGACAGGCGTATCAGTGGACAGATGAAGGGGTAGTGACTGAGCGTGAGGTGGCGTCGTTGGCTTACCGGGACCCATGATGAGTGGGCGTCCACGAACGAAAATCCCATACTGTATTTATGTGCAGCGATTTATATCGCCGCAGAGGTGTAAGCGTGGCCGTCTTCGATGCGAGTGTCAAAATACGGCCGCAATGCTCATTATTCAAGTCATACGCACCAAGATAGGCCAAAAACACCACTAGAGATACCGCGACCGTCAAGTTCTTCCGTGGCCTTAACCTGCCTGTTTCAATACTGTGCGACCTAAGGACAATTGAAGCAATTTTCCTTATTTATCCTAGCAGAAGTCTTTATAACAATAAGGGAAAAATCGAGTGATCGCGACTTGACCCTGCAGGGCAGGTGGGGGTCGATGGTAAGATTCGTCCACCTGTGTGTATTCCTTGATTCTCGCTGTTTCCAAGCTAGATATAGACCAATCTCTGATAACAAATACGAGGTACCTAGCGAATGAACGTCGTTCTTCAAAGTGCAGTTTGTCGGGGACAGGACTACTACTAGTATTTCGAAACATTTACAGCATAGGCGTTCACCTATCAGACGCGATCACGTGATGTAACGCGACTTCAACACAAGGACTGGCGCTCAAACTCAACATTCTCCTCCGCCAACCGCATGCTGCAACTCTCATCGTTCTATACCCTTCTCCCTCCCGCATAATGTGGGCGAAATTCAGCAGCGCTCTCAAGCAACGCCCCAGTACTCCATCCTTGGCTGAAGACCAAGACGACCAGCCCTCTCACGCCGACGTCCTTTCCAGCGTGTACGAACAACATCCCAACCTCTCCGTATTTCACCAGCAAGATGAACCTACCGAAGTCCCTTTCCCATCTCCGAGCCCGCCATCTTCTCCCTCGCTTACTGGCCGACGCAACATTTTCAGGCGACCTAAGCCATCTCGCATCGACACCGCTGCAGAACCAGCCACATCTTCCCCCATCTTGTCGCCACTTACACTGCCGAAGAAAGTAAAGTCATCTCTTCAAAACCTTTCTAATGGTAAGAGGATCCTCGATATGCGGTCTATACCTCTTGCTTACAGGATCTGCAGTCTCCGAGCTCTCACTCAACCGGCCATCTATAGATTCAGCACAGCGTCCTTCGCCAGATTCAGCTCGACTATCACCGGCGTCCGCCTCCGACATCAAGTTTGGCTCCTTGAGGTCCATGGTTCGCACTCGCTCATCCGGGAGCTCCACGCATTCGCAACAATCGTCCCAGGAGTCAACCCAAGCACAGCCCATCACACCAGTGACAGACGTCAAGTTCAGATCATTGAGGGTAGCAACCTCGTCAGCAGACTCAATGCATTCGCAACGGCCGTCTCAGGACTCGATCTCAGCGCCACCCATTACACCGACTACCGACTCAAAATTTGGTTCTCTCCGCTCTATCCTGCGTGACCGCAAAACGCCCGCCACAGGTCAGAGCGTGCGCTTCTTCTCCCGTGATGCCTACAAGGTCATCACTCCAGATGTGTCGGCGACGAGCAGCGAGCCGGACGAGATTTCTTTCGCTGCTCGCCTTCACCGCGCAAAGCATTCATCGCGTCCGGCCGCGCAAGAGTTGTTTTCGACGCCGACTACACCTTCGCTCATGGTCCCCATTTCACCTCCTCACGTATCCAACATCTTCGACCTTTCGACAGATGCTGAGTTGCCCACTATTCCCATAGGAGAAGAAGTGCCGCTTCTCGACAGTGCGATCGAGATCTCAGAAGCAGAGGTAGAAGAGACTGCGAACACGGAGTCTCGCCCGCCGACGCCACCAGCCAAATCTACACCTGCGTCGTCGCATGTGCAGCATGACCGCAGCCAGTCATTCAGTTTTGGGCAAACCGTGTTCCGTTCTCCAGAGACAGTGGATGTCTCTCGGGCGTCGTCTACAGGGTCTATCTCGAAGGCCAACCGTAGCCGCGCGCTGAGCGACACAGTGTTTCACTCGTATTTGCAGTCACCTCTGGTTGGGTTGGAGAATAAAGGGCCACCTGAGGCGGATATCAACGATACGTCTGGAGCCATGGTCGTGTATGGATCGCCAGAACAGGAGAAGCGAGAGAAGGATCCGTTTGGAGCCAACGCGACAACCTATTACACACCCGGTACGGTGTTGCCGCCGACGCCTCCTCAGGCGCAGCGAGAGGGCCACGGGCGAAAAGCTTCGCGTGAAGAGAATCTGATCCTCTCGCTGCGCACCCAGCTCGCGTTACAGTCAGAACTGTGCGTGCAGTTTGAACTCGATCTGAGTGCGCGAGACGAGTTAGTGCGTGTGCTGAGCTCGCGGCTGGATGATACCGAACGTGAGTGTGAGCGGCGGAAGAGTATTGTGAAAAGCTGTAGGAAGCGAGTAACGGAGCTAGAGAGGTGCGTGCAGGGCTTGCAGGACGAGGTCGACAGGAGCAGGGAAGAGAGTATGGAGCGAAGTGTGATGGACGAGGCGAGTGGGGAGGCCCTGAGGATGCTGCATCGCAGGATTGAGGAGCTTGAGCGTGATCGGGCGGAGAGCGATAGGCGTGAACAGCAGGCGAAGGAAGAGGTTTGCGAGAGGGAGTATGAGTTGGCGCAGGCCAAGGAGGAGCTGGCCAGGAGGGACGAGAGCGAGCGCGAATTAAAGGCAGGCATCGCGGCCGCGAAGGAAGAAATGGAGCAGATGGGCGAGCTGACAGGGAATCACGATGCGATCACCAGACAAATTCAGTTCAACAACGCCGAGGCAGCGTGGAGCGAAGAGCGCGAACGCTTGCTTAAGGAGAGCGAATTGCTTCACAATGACCAAGCTGCAGCCCAAGCGCAACTCGCGGATGCACGTGAAGAGATCGTCCGCAAGGATTCCGAGATCAATGTCTTGAAGGCGGAGGTCGAAGCACAGTGGAGACACACAGAAGAGGCTAGCGAGAAAACGCAAGAGCTGGCGGCGCAACGCAACGAGTTGCGTGGAGAGGTTGAAGCCCTCAACGAGCGTATCTCCGCCATGGAGGTCGACTGGAGCCAAAATGAGAACCGAAAGGCTAACCTCGAGGCTGAGATTCAAGACCTGTTCGCTGAGAAAGAGGATCTGGAACGTGAGCGTACTGAGGTGTGTTCTATCTCGTCCGTCGATCCCTTTCGGTGCATTTAACCACATGGGCATAGCTCGAGGATCAACTTCGTAGTGAGCACGAACACTCTGAACACTTGACGCAAGCCCTGCAGGAATGTGAAGATCGCGTATCGACCCTCGAGCAGGAACGGCAATATGCTGTCGATAGGGCAGCCCGCTTCGAGGCGCAACTCAAGCAGCGAGATATGGAGACAATCCAGCTTGCCGAACGGGCTGCTGATCGCGAGAAGGACACGGAAGAAGCACAAGAGGAGATGGCTCGGATGAAGCGCGAGCACGCTCGCATCGTCAATGAGCAGAGCCGTACCTTGCAGGATGTCGTCGCGCGCGAGGTCGAAGCACGCGCCGGACTTGAGTCATTCGTCAGGGAGAAGGCGGAAGCGGATGTCCATCTTGCCTCATTGAAGGAGCGACTCACCGCGCTTCAAGAAGAGACGGAACGTCTCCGACGTCAAGTACATTCGCTGCAGCAAGAGAGTGCGGACAAGGAAGTCAAGTTAGCAAATTTGGCTAAGCAGCGCGCCCAAGATAAGGAAGACATTCAAGGTTTAAACATTGCCTTGGATTCGAAGCAGCAGGAGCTTGAATTGGTGAGTATTTTTGCCGCAATATTAATGAAACAATTGATTTACTGAGCATGATCGCAGCTGAAACGCCGTATTGGGGTTCGTGGGACTGCAGGCGGCACACCCGCTCAGGCTACCAAAGCCCCTCACCACCGTCGAGAATCCTCAATCTTTGGAACACCGAACATCGCAGGCTCCAGACCGTCTTCAGCGCTGTCTGATACAAACAGTACTGCGAAGGAGCGAAAACCGACTGACACACCTTCAACTGTTACAAAAGCAGCACTGGCGAAGAGCATCCGCGCAAATGTTACAGGATCTGCCACTGTGACTACAAAGCGGTCACTGGAGGGTGCAATGGGCCCGCCGCCCCTCCGTGCCTCGTCAACGACACCTGGGCCTACACCTACGCGTATTCCTTCCGCATCTTCGACTCGTACTCCGACTTCCACAGCGCCGAGTTCATTTGGCAAAGCGACACCTACCCTCCAGCGCCGTATGTCGGCGACGTCAAGTCTGGAACCTTCGCGGTTGCGAACGGCGAGGACCAGTCGCGAGCCGCTTGCCTCGGCTAGCGAGAGTGACGAAAAGGAGAAGGAAAACACGGTGCCAGCTGCGAAGACGAGGCGTATGAGTGTCGCGGCGGCATAGGGCGCTGTAGAAATAGGTCGAAGTGAAGTGAAGTCCCTTGCCTGAGATCCTTTCGTCTCTCGCACGTGTATCAGTATATCTATGTCGTGGTCGTCGTCTCGCAATTTGCCCTTCGATTTTCTCTCTCCATGGACATATACTTGCACATGTGTTGAACCTCATTGATCATGCATCGTCTCGCCCATTTGTTGCCCATCCTGAATTATGCGATTAAGTACCTACCTATGCTAGCTGTGTTTGATTTGAATCCTTGTTGGTCTGCTTTCATGTTATTGAATCTGATCCATTTGAAAGCTTAAGCTTGTACTTATCTCTTCCATGTCATCACTGAGTGAGCATCCAAGGCACTCGTTGTACGCCTTCTCATACTTGTATACAGTATGGCAGGAGCAAGTCGGCATACATAATACCATCACTGAGCCAACTTATTTGTGCCGGAACATTGTTCGTGCCTGAGGCTGAGTCCGCGCAGGCACGTGACCATCCACCGGACAGGTCTCACCCAAGGTCTCACCAGTGGCGAGTCTCCTCTGTCAGTTTATCCTCACGACAAGTCTTTTTCTAGGACAAGGCTTACCTGGCTTAATATTGAACACTGTGTGCAGCATCTGGCCACTTTGCCTTACCATATTCTGGCGACCATGGATACAGGCAATGTTCCCTCCGAGCTGTGGATGGATATCTTCGAGCTGTTACCCAGCCCTTCCGACCTCTACAGCATCACACAGACATGCAAGCGATTCCACGCCCTGGCAGTCCGAGCCATACACCGCCATGTTATTTGGAGGAGTGCCCGCCAGGTTGAGAACAATCTTCCGGTATGGAACTTCCATCAAGGCATGGACGTGACCATCCATACACTCGAGCTTGGTGTGTCAGTACGCCCCCCTGCAGTGCCAGACAATTTACCAGTGCCGACCAACCCGCCGCTGTGGCCCTTTCAACCTGTGAACCATCCTATGGCTTTCGCCCTCCGTTTGCACAATACCATCTCATACCATCGGCTAGACTTGGAACGTTTCTCGTCTCAGACTCTACATGCCGCTATGCTACAGCGTATATTCACATTCGTCAACCTCCATAAACTTGTATTTTCGAATGTCATATTTTCAGATGACCACTTCGCTATCATACACGCTCTTCCCCAGCTTCGGACGCTCCGCATCGACCATTGCATCATGCCCAGTCCCCATCAACTACAGCAGTACGACCACGCGACACTCCCGATTACTGACCTCATCCTACTTAACTGGCGCCGCCAAGTCTCGGAGCACCACGGAGAAGTCTTGGTTGAGGAAGACATGACACCTGTACTGAATCTCGCGCTTGCACAGAATTTGCATACTCTCCGGGTCGACTCGACCGCAGATGTCTTCCGCTACGTCTTTCACTGGCACATCGACGCGCAGGCCCCGCTGAACGATATCCCACCACACCTCGAGCGGCTGTATGTGCAGCGCAAACAGCTGCTGCAACCGTCCGTACCGGGCGAGTCGACGTTCCCAGACACGAGCCTCTACTCGTTTCTACAGCGCGCGCATACGCTCACAACGTACTCGACGTTCCATCCCGCGCCCCAGCACCAGCATTTAATGCCGGACACCCTCCCGCTCCTGCGCTGTTACTCTGGTCCCGTCGAGAGCATCGCGGGCATCCTCCCCGGGCGGCCTCTCGAAGCAGTTCAGCTGCTCTCGTGTGTGCATGGCCAGAGTGGCGTGCACAACCACCGCGACGGGATCCCTGCGCTGACGGCCGTCGCAGAAGAGTCGCCCGAGCTGCTGATGCTCTCGGTAGAGTTCTCGACATGGGATGACGAGATAATGCACGCGATCTGTGCATTGTTCCCGAAGCTCCGCCGGCTGAAAATCACGTACGAGGGTGCAGGCCCGAGCGAGGTAAGTTGGTCGTGGCCTGGCGCTAGGATCGAGTGCTAACGGTCGGTTTACAGTTGACGATGGTGACAATGGGCCCAGAGTTCCTGTCGCGTCTGCCGGATTTACACACCCTACAGCTCTTCACGCTGTCCAATGAAGGTGGCTCGCGGCTCAAGTATCCTGCATACCTGTTTGATCCATCGTATGAGTCCGTGGAGGAGGAGATGCGCAACCTGGTTATCCCGTGGAATCGATGGTGCCCCGCCCTGCGCGAGGTGCAGCTCGCGTCGGGATACACGCTGCTAAGGGGCTTTACGGGTGGGTATTGGCAAATACAACGGCTCAAGAGGGCTGAAGAAATAGAAGAATTTTACTATTGATTCGAAGGGATCTCCCTATGTGCGTGATGCCGTCTACATGCTATCGACGAACTTTGTATTGGTATGCTCTCGAGTTTAGACATTGTATTTCTACCCAACATGCTGTGTCTGTGACGATATAATCGTAGGCTTATTAGAGATACCTAGCTTGCACCTGTATCCGTATAATTCTGCGCGGACGTCTATGTATGGTCTTGCTCTGCCTTAATCGATTTCGTACGAACGACCTTCGGTTGATTGTCTGACCTTGTCTTGCCTTGGCTTGTATATGAAGTTGTGCTGTAATGATACAAGATCCGTGCCGCCTGTCAGCGCCAGCTCTAGCCAAAATAATTATCAACTAGGTCCTTGCGTGAGAGGCATAGACTGGATCATATACAACTTTGTCACATCCGTGGTATGATTCTCACACCGTCGCCACATTTGCCACTTGGTCGAATAGTTGGCTAGCAACGTCCGAGCTAGCGCTTCGCCAAGCACATCGGTTGTCGAGTGAATGGAGCGATTTGCTCCGCTCGCACTGATAAGAAGGAAACTGGACAATGTCGACATAGTGCAGCTGACCTTCTGGTGCCTAGCATGCTGTCAGTGTAAGTGCCAGTGGTACCTGTTCCTGCGGCGGGTGCCAGTGTGAATTGCTGTGGCTGACTATGCGCCGTGTGGAGACGATGAAGCGATGGGCTGTGGGGCATCTCAAGTGGCTCTGAGCAGTCGATCCTTCGGAATACAATTGCTCTAGATCGATCAGTCGTAATAATTGCCCTCGACGTTGCTAGTACGCTGATGAGACTGCGATCTCAATTCAAGCGGAGGGGTGTCAAGAGCAACTCGGTAGCGATGTGTAACAGAAATGCATGTCTTTCCGTACTCAGGATTTCCATTGTGGGCAGACCGGCTCAACTTGTGCGCGACTTTATCCACAATGAGACGGTTCAAACAGATCTTGCGTAAAGTGGCCCTGTAACCGTGCCCCCGACAGCGGATCGAGCCGCAGTCTAAGGGGGAAAAAATCTGACGGGAGCTTAATTAATCCTCCAAAATCTGATACATGCGGTCATCATATCAACTCACCGCGTGAAGTACAGTTTCGTTAAGAAAACCGTCCCGTTGAGAGGCCGGATAATTGTGAAGCCAGACAGCCCGAAGAGAGGTTCTCTCAGGCAGTTGCTTTTTCGCCAAGCGGCAGCAGGCCATTTTGGATTAGATAAATGGCACCAAGATGCTCAGACATTAATTAACGTGATTTCTTGAGTGCGGAGAACAATATTTAGCTCCTAAATTTATTCGATGAATCTATTTTCAGGGTGTCGGGGTATGAAAAGGCTGCCGGCGGATGGCGTTTACGCGCCTGCGCGGTGGCGCTGTGGTGCGAATTTCCTCTTTGAGAAGTCAAGTAAGTTGAACTCGCCGGAGACGGGCTGCGAGAGCGTTCCTCTCCACGTCTTGCGTCCGAACATTGAAGAAAGGTATGTTCATTCATATCTGTCTCAAAGATATGGTGTAGTGTCCCATCTGTCTTGCGCGCTGCTGATCAAGTGCCGTATCCTGATGAACCTACGGGTCCGAGGAATGGCGAAAAGGGCGCAGCCTATCCCAAGGGAACGATGTTGCAGCAGGTCCCCTGAGCCTCCTCAGTGCACTTCTCCAATTTCTCCTGATTTCTTTGCTGCATATTTCCCGATTATTTCGCTTATTAGATGTCTATAACCCTCTAAAGAAGCCCATCGTACTCGTTACGACGGCACAGGGCGCAATAACTGTGAATTTTACCCTCTCCTGGCTCCGACACTCCGTTAGACGCACTCCGGAGCTAGAATATCCGCGAAGGGTACTGATGACTTCGACTGCGGGTGAGGAATGGCAGATTTCGCTCATTTGATATGGCGTATCTGTGGCTATTCTGCTCCTCATGCCATCCGCAAAGAACGTGCCCGCCCCTTGACGCTACGTGACATAATGGTTCAGATCTGTCTCCAGCGCTGGCAGCTTATAACCCGCCTCTCGCCGTCGCAATCTCCATCTTGAGTCTTGACCGCCATGCCCCTCCCCAAGACGCTTAGCGTCAAGTCCACGGGACAATCTGTGCGCGAGTCGGGTACTCAGGGTGAATATGGCATCCAGATACAGTGAGTCGTGTGCCAACTACTTTATCTATTTCTCCTGACTTACGACCTATTCTAGATACCGTACCCTTTCCCTCCGCGTGGATGCCACTTTGGATGAGAAGGCGCCGCCTCGGCAGACCAAGGACACGCAGGACCCTGCAGAAGGCATCCGCAGCATTGACGTCCATACTTTGACGTCGCATGAAGTCTTCACTCGCTATTCAACATCGCCTACCGTTGGGCTCGAGAGCATTGCTGTACAGCGCAGGAGCAAGACGGGCGGCAAGAACATCATCTCACCTCCGAAGACACAGTACTGGAAAAAAGCTCTCAACTATGTTTTTGGTGGTTTCAACTTCCTGATGTGGATTGCCTTCATTGTGACGATCGTAAGACTATCCTCCTTCTCCACGTCATCGACATCCCTTGAACTGATGAGCCTCCTTTTTAGCTCTCATACCAACCTCTGGGTGGCTCTGACCCCGCCGCCTTCAACCTCGGAGTAGCTGTCCTTCTAGTCCGTCTCTACCACTTATTTTGGACTCAAAAACTTGAACTGACTTAGGAGTAGCTCTTGGTCATAGTCATCTCGGCGACCTTCTACGCTCTCGTCGACTGGCATGCATCCCGAATCATGAGCTCTATCAAGACCCTCATCGCAGAGGAGGCGACGGTTATTCGCGACGGCAAACAACAAACCATCCCATCTCGAGACCTCGTCGTTGGCGACTTGGTTGTTCTGTCTATGGGTGATCGTGTCCCAGCGGATATCCGTCTCGTTGAGGCCTCAAGCGACTTGCGGTTTGATCGTTCTCTCCTTACTGGAGAAAGGTGAGACGCTTCTTGAAAACCCAATGGTCATCGCTGATATGCATCTGTAGCGACATGATCCCAGGTACACTCGAAATGACGTCGGACAACGCGTTGGAGACGCGTAATTTGGCACTCGCGTCCACCTTCGTTGTACAAGGAAGCTGCACCGGTGTTGTCTTCGCAATCGGCGACAGGTCCGTCATGGGCCGCATTGTCGCCATGTCTGGCGAGACCAAGTTCAAGCTTACGTCGGTACAGAAGGAGGTCTGGTTCTTCACCAAGATCGTCTCTGCTTTGGCGCTTGGGTTCTTCTGTGTCGCTATCATCGTGTGGGCGGCATGGCTCAGGAAGGATTACCCTAGCTACGAGACAGCGAGTGAAGCTATCATCAATTCCATCGGCTGTTTGACTGCGTTTGTTCCCCAGGTGCGTCGTGCGATTTTTGGATTAATGAGTATAATTGAACAGGAACTTAGGGTCTACCGGTTTGTGTCGCTCTTTCGCTTACGATTGTCGCGAAGCGCATGGCGAAACGTAGCATCCTTGTCAAGAATCTTGCAACAATCGAGACGCTCGGCTGCATGTCAGTGCTCTGCTCTGACAAGACGGGAACTCTTACTATGGGGAAAATGGTACGTCTGAGATCCATGTCTTTGCGTTGAGTATATGCTCATCCTCCATGTGTGAAGACTCTGCAAACCGTCGCTTTCCTGAACGGCCAATACACCCTCGAGCTCATCAACGAGAAGTTCACTCAAGAGGATTCCGAAGTGCCGGTAAGCTTCAGGGCCTTGCAGACGGTTGCGCGCCTCTGCAACGGTGCGAAATTCGATGCATCGACAGAAAATGCCCCAATCGAGGACCGCGTTATCAAGGGTGATCCCACGGACACCGCCGTGCTCCGTTTCTCCGAGGCTCTTCGTATCCCCTCTCTCGGTCTTGATGCTCCGACCCTCCTCGCCTCCCACGAGAAGCTCTTCGAGATCCCATTTAATTCCCGCAACAAATGGATGCTTACCGTCGTGCGCGAGCTCCGCTCGTCCGATACCGACTCTGAGAAGGGCGGGGACGACAAGAGCGATCTCTGGATGCTCGTCAAGGGTGCACCGGACAAGCTCTTCCCCGCCTGCACAGACGTCATGCAGGAGGACGGCACCACTCGTCCCTTCGACTCGGTTGCCCGCCAGCAGATGAAGGGCGCCCAGGAGGCACTGAGTGACCAGGGCCAGCGTGTGCTCGCTTTGTGCCGCCGCTCGCTGGAAGCAGTCAAGCTCGACTTTGCAACAATGTCCGCCAACCAGATCGAGGAGTTGATGTACGAGGAGTTCCAAGGTCTCACGATGGTCGGCCTCGTTGGTATCCGTGACCCCCCTCGTCCAGACGTTCCAGGCGCTGTCGCCACAATTCGTCGGGCCGGAGTGCGGGTATTCATGGTCACAGGTGATTTCAAGCTGACGGCACTTGCTATTGCGAAGCAGGTTCGTGGTCACAGACAAATTATTCTGCTTGGATGTTGACAGTGCTTGTAGGTCGGCATCGTCACTCAAAACAGAGTAGATACCATCGTAGAACTGCGCTCTGAGAAGCAGCCGAGGTTCATCGGTCTGCCGCCATCTGCGATGAAGCCCCTCGAAGATGACCCTGTCCGCGCGCTCGTGCTTACCGGCGATGATGTGGAGACCCTCCAACCTGAAGATTGGGACATCGTGATTGGAAACTACACCGAGATTGTTTTCGCTCGCACGACTCCTGAGCAGAAGCTCAAGATCGTCGAGGAGACCAAGGCTCGTGGAGACAACACCGTCGCGGTCACTGGTGATGGTGTGAACGACGCGCCTGCGCTAAAAGCGAGCGACATTGGTGTAGCTATGGGTGCTGGAAGTGACGTTGCAAAGGAAGCGGGTAAATTTTCCCATCTTTTGGTTTTAGAAATGGTATTCATTCCTTCCTTGCAGCTGCTATGGTCCTGTTGAACAACGACTTTGCTTCCATCCCAATTGCGATAGAAATGGGCCGTCTCATTTTTGACAACTTGAAGAAAGTCATCATATATCTCATGCCTGTAAGTAATGATGTTCTGCTCCTTGAAGATGCTCAGGCTTATTCACCGGCTCGTAGGCTGGCACATACACGGAATTCATCACGGTGTTCTGCAACGTCTTCTTGGGTATGCAGATTGCCCTTAGCTCGTACCTGCAAGTCTGCTTCTCCATTCTTAACGATGTCGTCATGTCGATCTCCCTGATGTATGAGAAGCCCGAGTCAGGTGCGCTCGAATCTAGGTACCCTGTCACCTTCCCTGACATCAATCCCCAGATCTGATGTTGCGCAAGCCGCGGAATGCTCGCACTGATCGTCTTACAGATTGGCGGTTCTTCATTCAGATCTACCTTGTGAGTGCGGAGCTGCTCGCGTTAATCCCTCTGATTCCTAATTGAGCATCGCAGTTCATTGGCCTGATGATGTGGCCGTCCGCGATGGGCATGTGGTTCCTGTACATGCACAAACAAGGCCTCGGCTTCTACGATGTGTTCTACGTCTTCGACAAGTGGACTCAAGGTTGGCATGGATACAGCAACGACCAGCTTCTTCACTTTGTCTCAGTCGGGCAGTGCATTTAGTGCGTGTATCCTTCCATTCTCGTACCACTATCCAGTATTAACCCCGATATTATGTACCTCAGCTACGTTACCATGGTGTTCATGCAATACGGTGGTCTCCTGTCTGTTCGTAACCGTCGTGTTTCCATTCTGAACTCGAACCCACTCTGGGGCCCGCGCCGCAACCTCGCTGTCCCGTGCGGCATGATCGCCACCGCGCTCATTGCGGTTGTCAACCTCTACGGACGTGGTTTGCAAGACGTCTTCAACACCGCTCCCATCCCCGGCATGTTCTGGGGGATTCCGTTCACCTTTGCCCTAGGCATCCTCACTATGGACGAACTCAGGAAGCTCATCGTGCGGACATATCCGAAAGTTCGTGTTAACTTCCTGAGCAATGTGCAATTGAGTAAACTAATTTCATGAACAGTCTATCATCGCCAAGATGGCATGGTAACACTCACTAGTGGTAGAGGGTATGTGCTTGGTGCCTTTGCCTTCATCCGTATATAGTGGATTCAACCTATGTATCGAGATCTTGGTATAGAGTGTAACTGTAGTAGATTCAATGTCAATCGTCGATGGCAACATCATTACAACGAATTGTGAGACATCGGCTCTTTGCTTTGAGTAACAACTAACCCGGGCATATGGAGTCCATCTTTGTTGTGTGTCATAGCAATAGTTATGATATGGATTGTAGAGCTAACTTTCAAACATAAAGAGTGATCTAGAGCTGGGAAAATTAAGCAACAGGCTGATACTGTATGACCACTGGGATCAATCACATACAAAAGATGCACGGCAACTTGAATACTCGGATTCTAACGAGTGCGCTTGTAAGCCTGATCCGGCAGAGGTATACACACCCATTCGTCTCCTCATCCCAGTTCCCTAGAGCTCCGAATCGGTATTTTGGACATCCCACCGCTACACCAACTCACTATCTCTTCCATTACGCTGTTGACCACACAATGAATCAACGCGAGGATCAGCATATACCATTAGCACAACAGCAGGATATGCACTGTGGATTGACCCGAGAGGATGCAGGCCTAGAGTCGATGGTGGATTGTCAGCCAAACCTTCCCGAGTAGTAGATGATGCTGAGAGACAAGTGTATGCATCACCTCCAGATTCAGCAGACAGGTCTTCTTCCCTCAGCAACATGGTTACCTAAGCTTGCGAGAACCGTTCACCTAACACAGCACGTCGTCGAGATACTGGTGAGTCCAAATATACTCTTATGAGATTATGAGACTGAAAGGACAGACCATCGAGAAGTTGCGTGTGATCGAACATTGATGACTTCAAGGATTCGTAGACACGCTCGCCTAGATCCTCTAAGATTCTGTCCACGACGCAATTCTCTCCAGTCCCTGAAACTCGCCACCACATCGCATTCTCTTCTGGCTTCGATAGTCTGTCATTTGGACCAAAACGTCCACAATCTCGGCGAGTCTTGCGTCTTAGCACTGAAATGTATTGAACTTTGCGCCATATCTTGCGAACGGACCTAACCAGTCCCGACGTATGGCTCGTTCTATCATTTCGTGTTTCATCTCGACGAAAATTTGGAGCTGTAAGCTGATAATGTGAGACTGAGAAAATGCTTTGTGAAAATTGAGCTAAGAGGCGTCAGCCTTGTGTCATTCTCTAGTGTCATCCAAATGTCCCTACCTCTTGCTTCGAAAAATCTTTGAACCCGAGTCCCGTCGATGAGACCTCCAGACACCTTAGGTGAGACGCGGTGCGGATCATACGGGGCAAAACTTTGGAGCAGACTAGCACGTCATTGAGAGTGATCGAAAGGGTGGTGCATGATGCTTATCGTACGACCGACGCCACTGCAACCACTTGAATAGTGATATCGCAAGCCTCATCTCCACCTCTCCAACTTATGGATTTGTTCTTGACATAAAGGAAATCAACGTAGTCGTGCAAGAGCCGCAGGGACCAGATGGGACAGCGGAAGTTCCACTGCATGAAATCCGACACCGAGCCCGAGGCGAAGTTCAGACTTGGCCAATATGAAGCAGGGCAACACGCAGGCATGTCCAGCGGTGGACTCCAGATGCGGGATAGATACGCCTCCTGAATGTTCAGAAACATCAAGGCAATGCGAGAAACTGGTATGTTGCAAGAGTGTGCAGGCCAAGACGGCGCACACTTCTGAGTTGGACGTCACCGTTGGTTGGCGAGAATGGGATTCTCTTGGAAGGCGATGTTATCGATGTGAAAGTATTCTACGTTTCGCAGCGCAGAATTATTGGCCAAGAGCGGGGCCAAATCGTACGTTATTTGAAGGTTCGACATGCACCTAAATGGACAACATCTCAGGAGCAGTAAATCAGGGTGTGCTCTTCATGCGAGAGAGCCATGCCAAGGTACGGAGCCCGACGTTGTTGAGACGGATGTGAGACAGAGTGTTACACGACGTAAACACATGTCCAACTCTGGCTTCCAGCATGATGAATAAATTAGAGTGGCAAATGTCTATTCGTTTGCAGGCTGTCCGCCCGTGCGAGCAGGTCCGCCAAAGCGGTACAAGCAGCCATGTCAACGATTACACCACTACCGATTGTGAGGTCGTTCATGAGGTGCGACCGGTTCTCCACTTCTGCCAGCATGTATTCTGCCATTGAACAGAGAGAGCTGGTCTTCGAGACATGGACCGTAGACAAAACTCGTCTGTGCGCGATCGGATGGATTATTTTGGCCGACAGAGACAGCCGAAGTGCATCCCAAGCATCAAGATACGAGACTATACAGAGAAGTACGTTGCCATTGAGCTCGCAAAGGTTTGCCATTACAGACTGAGAGACATCAGATAATCTAGGGTAAGTAGTACATGGATACAGCACTGTAGACTGTAGTAGGCGCCAGGGCATCACCAGGTCGGCCGAGCCCAGAGTGTCAGAAAAGGAAGGTGCTGTAGATGAAGATGCACCAGTGATACGCGGATAGCACAGAAGATTATAAACTTGTCAGCTATACATCTTCGCGAGAAACGAGATAGTATGAGAGCGATCACGAAGGGGCCTCATCTGAATTTGTCTTAACATTATTGGAAGGCGGTAGCTCCGCCGTCCATTTAACCCGCGGTACTTCGACCGACTCGTGGTCGTGCGTGCTGGAATCACAGTCCACCATAATACTCCGCTCAACCTGCACTTGCACTGCAAGATTGACGTCACTCAGGTCAATGAGGTCGTTAAGGGAGCGCGGGCGCTGCGCAGGGCGGTCAGTGGTGACGCCAAACTCTTCGTCGATCCGGCGTTTGGCCACGAATTGGGAACGCATCGCGTGGGACACGGACTGCGCTGTACGGAATGGTTCTGTGATCACATGTGTAGAGCGATGCTGGTCCGCAGCGACATCTGTTTGTGAAAGATAAGAAGGAAAGACAGGAAGCGAGCTTTGGAATACTCGCCGCGAAGATGTAAAAGAATTCTCTGGCTCATAATCCAAGTAAGTGCTATTCCTAAACTTGCTCTATGAATGTGTGTTGTGGATTGAGACAAGTGGTTATGACTCAAAAGAAAATTTACCAACCCAGATGACTATGAGGCTGTTTAGCGTTAGTCCACTTACGTAAATTTATCACGAACCTGTGTGAAGCCATTCGCAACATTAAATATGACAAGGTTCAAGACATTCGTCCCTATCAACACCTTGTAAGGTAGCCACATTCAACTAACGCATGCACCCCACCTGTAAGTATCACGAAATAACCAATACCATCATAGATCATCCTGCGAGAGGACACTTAGATTCGTTGTGGCTCCGAAGATAAGTGCAACTAACACTTTCACAAGGCGCGCTACTCTAAGAACGATTCAATGAAGCATCTACGACACCACAAAAACGCATGTCCACATACCTGCTTGAAGGGATAGAAGGGGAATAATACCGCAGCAGATAATAAGTCGATATACAGAGGGTTATACAGTCGTAGCAAATCGCAATAACGTAATAAAGCCACGTTGTCACGGGGTGAGTTTCATTGCTATCTGTACAACTATGCGATTAAAACCACGATGAGGACTCTTTTCGAGCTCGGAAATATTGTATTCCGCTTACTTGCGAAGCTGTTTTTATAAATTAATCATTAGCTATTGCCAGCATATACGACATGCCCACCTCGTTCTGAATGGCTGATAGTATCATAGAGATCAGAAACCATAGAGGTCTCAACCAAATCACTTACGTCTCTTAGAATATAGATTAGTAAACCACTCTCCCTGTGTGTTTATTTAATTATGGGAGGAGCTCTTCATAGATTTTACCGTTTCACCTACCGCAGTGACTACGATAAATATGGAAGGTAGAAACCACAGGATCCATGGTTCACGTCGTGCAATATTAATGGTTCTAGAAAAGAGCATCATACGTTGTCAGCTGAAAACTGAACGGAGACAATCGCTTCCCAAACTTTATACCAAACAAAAACGAATCATTGGTCTGCCGCGTACGCTGCTCCAAAATCCGCCAGCGTATACCCAGCGCTGACAGGCTGTTGTAACACCGGTAAAGGATGTGCCATTCGTCCACAACATCCGACAGGTATTGGATACACGAACAATGGAAGGAATCAAACAACGGAGTTCTCACCTCAAGCCCATGATAATCTGGGATATCATTGATTGAAAAACTGCATGATGTATATAAGACATCGCACAACGGGCCCGCAAGATAGGTCATAAGCACACACCTTTGAATATAGGTCCGAGAAGAAAATATCTTGAACAAGCCGCTGAAGAGAACTTGCCAAAGTAGCTCGTTGTGCTGATAATTAGAGTGGCTATGCTAATGTATCTGTTGGCAGATCATAATCGAGAGAAGTGCATGAGACGGATCAGAACTCACCGAATGAGTATAAATAGGATGCAGCCTATGGTCCACTTCCACGGTTTCCACGATTTCTGGCTCTTGTAAAAGCGATACTCGGCGGGCAGGGTCATGATGTAGCTAGGACGTTCCCCAACAGCTTGTGAGCCTGACAGTGTGCATGAAAGGTCCAGAACTCACTCCCAGGTTGCGACGGACAGTGCAGCAACGCGGATATATACATAGGCAGGCGCATTGAGATTAGTGGTGGGAGTCGACATAGAGCAAAACGAGCGGCATCCGCGGTCGGTGAGGAAGGGGCGGGGTCGAGGTCGCACGAAACATGGGGGCGGTCTTAAGACAGAGGATGGTTTTCGCTAGTGCTGTCTTGGCCCCTGTCCGACACCAAGTGATCGACGAGCGCCGTACCTTGACTGCATCGCCGTGACATTAATTTATAGACGCGCGCAGATGATTGGCCCAAACCACGTACATTGTATAGTCCTCCTGTTCCCTTTCTCCTATTCACCTATATTTCTATGCCTTACTGCCTGCGCAAAACACCAGTGGCGTCTTTTCGTCACCAAGGTCCAGCGCAGTAGGAGCCAAAAGTTTCGCACCAACCAGTCAAGCAAAACGAGGCCTGAGGCTAAGCTTCTCTACCCGTTCGGAGCTCCCGCTGCGCCCGCAAGAGCACAAACAACTCCGAGAGAATCATGATCCATTGCCATCCGGGGACTGAATTTTACGCGGTGGCTTCAGGTGGCGGTCAGCCATAACCAGAGCATATGTGACTTCGCAGTTTTTCCCCAAGATGTTCCACCGCTATCCAATGTTGATGCTCGAAGCCTTAATGGTTTCGCTGTTTTGTAAGTACGCGGTGGCGGGATAGTGGCGATCAGCGAAGTAAGCGCTCAGGGAGAATGTAAGCGCCTCAAGACGATTTCATCATGATAATATCAACGTTGGGGTCGAGTTTTATCTCTCTGCAACTCACTCGAGCCATCACCCCACTTGCGTATGTTCACATTCAGCGAAAAATCTGCCGACTACGATAGTATCTGAACAGGTTATGGCAACTATGCAGCATGTCTGAGTCCTCTATACGGTACATCGGATAATGTTCAAGCGAATGGTCGCATTTGGTATAAGGTGACTCTGGACTCTATTCTGATCGACGATCCTCATTAATAAAAGCATGCTCTCAAGTTGATCAATAGCCCAAGATCCAAGCCATTGAGTATTCTGGCTTTCGCGGCGTCTCGCCTATCCGACTCTTGAATATGGTCAATGCACGTGAGGTTTCGACTCAATATGGTACACAATTGAGTAGTCCTATGCTGAACTTTAACTTTCTTTTCATTACTCTTCATTTCTTTACCATGGACTCATTGTCAGAATCTCTGACAAGTCTGGAGGCCCAGTTATCAAGACTGGAAGATCCAGTAGAAAAGGTGGCCGCCATCAGATCTCACATACTCCAAACGACCCCAAAGACGCCAACCGTCGGATGGTTGCACGCTTCACAGCTTACAGTCCCTACCCCCGCTTCGAACGATTGTGATACGCTGCAAAAAGGGATCGACCGGTTACTCATCCAACATGATCTCAAGGAGATCTACATCACGTACATGGTAGAAATGGCTCAGAAAGATATCCTTCTCTACGACCTCTCCCTGGACACACTGCGTTGTTCCAATATTGACCCCCCTCGGTCTATCTGTCCCAGGGAAGGAAGCATGAGATGTGCTGCATGTAAGCTCACGTCATACTGCTCGAAAGTGAGTACACGTACTCCACGTGGAATGGTTAATAAGATGATTTTTTTTGCAGGAGTGTCAGAAGGATCACTGGAAGACGCATCGACGAGGTATGTACGTGTTATAGAAGAGTGCGCTGTTTACAAAGTTGAATTCAACAATATTAGATTGCAAAAATCCACTTCGTGCATTAGACTGGAAGCCGTCGTGGATCCGAGAGAGGCGCACACCCGATTTTGTAGGCGGTGGCTCGCGATATACTTCTACTTTGGGCCCCATGATGCGAAACATGAGCTTGTAGGTGGCCAGTTGTGTTCCTGAACCGCGCTGCTGACTTGAATGCAGGTGGGGAAACATGCCTGCGATCGATCTCCTGAACTTGTCTCACAATGAGAAAGACGCTTCTGACGATTTGACCATAGCATTTATCGGTCAGTTTCATATCTCAACATTCAGCTCGGTATAACGGATAATCGTCCAGGTTCCGGGGACCTTCGTGATGTCGTACGCACTGTGAATGAAGTACCGATGACCTATGCAGGGGAGCTCACCATAGTTTTGAATGACCATAATCCAATGATAGTTGCGCGGAATCTCGCACTGCTGATCTTACTCAGCAGCACCGAGAACAAGCGCAAAGCCGCTGATTTGGCGGTTCATTATTGGTATTCTGCATTTGTGCCTGAGATGTATAATGCGGAGATGAAACTAGCTGTCACAAATGTTCTAACCTCTTTCGATGACGACTGTTCGCTGTCCCACAGTCTGTCTACCAAGTCACGACTTGAGGGCTGCCCGGGAAAAGCTGTCATGTCCACCCTTGCACAATGTCTCATTTCTGAGAGATCATACGGAATGACTGATGCCCAGAACGAGCTTGTTCGCTCTCGGTATTCTCAACACTCCTCTACAAGTGTTTAGTCTGATATGTGCTTCACAGGGTGATTAATGCCAATGAAGACCGCTTACATCGCTCATACTGGCAGCTCGAGCCTTCTCATCGCCTCGCATTCCATGAGTTCCGCGGATTTGGGTTGCTCCTACCGTTCGGTGCAGCGAATTCGGATTTCAATCACCCCAATCGCTTGTTATTCTCTCCGCAGGGCAATTGGCTACAGTCTGATAAACAAAACCCGCTAAACGGGTGGCAGTAAGTCACTACCCTCCCCACCGCAATGTACTTCAGACATTGATGGATACCCGTCATAGCCTCCCATCAGTGGTAGAAGGTGGAAAGAAGCACAACGCCTTGCCCATGGACATATATGGATGTCTGTACTTCTATGTCTCAGACCAGCTTCGCGAATTCGCCACGCGCCTTTCTAACCTCCGCATCACATTCAAACTCTTCAATTTGGACGCTTGTCAGCTGGCCAAAGATATTTGCTCCGGTGCGCTATCTCGTCATGAACTGTCGCCTGATATACAAATCGATCGAATCGACACGTCGAACCTAATGGATCCTCATTACCTTGACATTGCTCCCGTTTTGAACGCTTGGGGTCCGTTGCTGAGACAGAATTCTCACGCAACGTTAATCGGCCACTTCATTAATTGGGCAGCTCGTCAGGAAGGCGCGGATCCTCCAGATCACGACCAGCCGTTGCTCATAAGGCGACTCATGGCAGACAAGCGGGTAAGATATGAGTACAATGCGATTTATTTCATTGAGCCAAATTTATCAATAGATCCCGGGGATGCCACCTGGGAGCTCTCCTCGGGTTGCTAAAGGTCTGTATGCTTACGTGGTAGAGATATCACTGAATCTGATCCTCATCGCCTTCATAATGAAGAGTTTGCAGAAAGGGCATCAATCTGTGCTGAGATGGCTTACAGTGCTGTCTACGATAACTCTAGGGCATTCGAGCAATATCTCAACAGTCGGGATCTCTCTTCCATACTCCGGACCTCCGGCCTCAAAGTGAAGCACAGCCACACCGTCGTTCCGCACGTTCGTACCTTTTCGCGTGCCTCCGACCGGACGCAAGAGGTGCACTGACGCCTTATCATATCTGACTAAACAGAGGCTGCGGGGCTCGTACGAGTCCGCTAGCGCGCTCCCTGATTTCCCTGATGACCAGAGTTGGTACCTGAATGTGAGTCACTGCTTGATGCATATGTGCAGGTTGATTACACATGCGGGATAGGTGGTCGTAAACGATCATCTTTGGTCTGAGCGCTATTTGGAACTTACTCGCGCTTGATGGCGTGCGAATGAGGTACACCTCTTCTTGTCCGTCGGGTGCAGGAGCAGCCAGCCTCATTCCACGTTGCCAAGCAGAGCTACCTAGAAAGATTTATGGGACGAGTCATTCATATTCCTAGGTTGTAGAATCTCCCGAGTACGATTTGTCAGGCATGCTCGGTCTCTTCAGAGTGCGATGAGCTACGGGTAGTTATGTATGGTATCTCATCTGTACGCGTTGTTTTTCGTGTGGGAGTACATTTATCAGCAAGCAACTGCAAATGAAGAATACCTTGCCAATTGGTTAGAGAAGGGTGTACGTTCAACGAAATTCTGCAAACTCATGCGCCATTTGCTCAGCTATCCGAGTCACCTGTACCGAAAAATAGTAACATTCAATTGTTGACTTGATCGAAATGCCTCCAGATTCCAATATGTGTGTTCGACTTACGTAGAAACTTTGATCTACCGACCACCCGGTCTAGAGGATGTAATCTCTGGGAAGTAATGCAAGTCTCGCATGAACAGCCTCCACGTGGGATCAGCTCCTATGGTCGTCTCCAAGTTCCAACAAAGTTAGCTCCGACTGCAGACGCGTTGGCACTAGTTTACTTTCCACCTCAAGTTCATTCGTGCGACGGCAAAGCTTTCCTTCACACTCCCGGCGTGACTTATTGCTTTCATCTTCCGAAGTTCGTACGATCTCTGTCTCGTTCTGCTGTCTGATGGCTCTCAATTCTTCGAAATACTCTGAACGCGCTGTATTCTAATTTCACTGTACGTGTTTTTCGTCTTTATGAATCCGCCAATTGATTTGCGTTATGTGTGAGTCCCTTGAACCTGAGGCTACTATGCCTATGATTTATAAATTCAAGAGATAGTAGCACGGTTCGAGCTCATGGAGGTTTGAGATACTATCCTCTGCCAATGATTCAACGTTCAACGAGCGCTATGGTTCTGGGCGACTATCTTGAACTCAAAACTTAAATTCCTAAAGGTCCTATATTATATAGTCAGGCTTTGATGACATCGGGCTCCCACGTCAGTCGCAATGCCGCCAGTGCTACCAGTACCGCCAGTACCGCGGATCTTCGCGACAATTCCCCAAACTGGTCTTTATGACCGCCAAGCTCCAGGCTGCTACTCCCCTGAAACGCTTTCAATCGCTTACGCGGACGTACACCGCCATCTGAAAATCTTCCAATGACCGGCTGGGTCAATACGGTGCGTCGCTCCCTGCTATACCTCTATCACATCATTGAAACAGCGGGTGGTCTACACCACAAGAATGGTGCCAAAGGACAAATGATCTTTTTAGCGTACGCCGGCATGTTCGCAGCATAGATTGTCACCTGGTAGTTGCGCTCAAATCGTAGAGCGCAATTACAGATAAATGATGAGCATAGTCATCAGCAACGAACTGGCCGCGACCATAGTCGCCCAGGGCCGCCCTGTGCATCGCTTACGGGAATGGTCCCATCATCCAACATCATGATCAAGGGCGGTCTCTCCTGGCCGGGGTGGCAAATGCATGGTGGAATATATAAATGAAGCCAGCGTCGGTGTAGAACTTACGACATCCTGCACGCCAGCCAGTTATCATCAAGACTTTCTGACCACCTCAAGCTCAACACATTATGAAGGTCTTCGCGTTGTTCACCGCCATCGCCTCCGTCATTGCTACAGCGACTGCCCAGAGTGCCACAATCTCATTACCGGCAAATGGCACTGTCATCGCATCTGGGGCTACCTTTACCATTCAGTTGGAGCAAGGGGTACGCGATTTCCCTCAGTATTCTATACGAACGCGCACTGACGAGTCGACCGACGCATGATGCAGGACTTCCCTGAAAACGTGAACCAAGTTGGAATCGCCCTCGGGCTCGCTCCATGCCAGTATATAGATTGCAACACATATGATGCGTCGCAGGAGATTGGCAATCTCCTGTACGCAGGGCCCTTTAACCCACAGTTTGGGCCTGGGGGGCCACCGTCGGCAGAGCCCTTTGAGAACTTCACCGTGCAGGCGCCATCTGGAGTGTCAGGAGCATATGCACTCAGTCTGACGCAACTGGAGCTCATCGGAGTGCGTGTACTTTTTGCGTTCTTGATTGCATTTTCTTATTTTGGACAAACAGGATGGGTACGAACGAGTATACTTAGTCAGCAACATTATCGTCGAGATCCAGTGAGCGCGAGGAATCTAGTCGCCATAAGGCGTAATCTAGGTGGCTAGATGCATATTGAGGGCTGACAAAGTGTGGAACACATTCACGGGTGGAGGTGTAAAACAAACTTTTTTAAATAATGTGATCACATTACTAAGCTCGTAGAGGCTTTTGTGGGCCTTGAATATGATCTCTCAACTTCTGTAAATGTTCAAACGAAGAGTTCAGCATAAAGTACTCCATAGATCCCTTGACCATTCAAGAAACAGTTGGACAGACAAATACAACTTAATGCGTGAGTAATAGAGGCCTTCATAAGTCATTACCATCCAGCATTTCGCGCGTTGGCTAGCAAGTAGCGGCCCTCAGCAACCTAAACCGGGAGTAGATAACTTCGTAACACACCAATCTTATTTCTCCAAAACGCCTCGACGACATTCATTGTTAAAAATATGAAACTTTACTTATTTACGAGAGCGAATGATAGTGGCGTGTTTACTTTCAGAACTTGTAAGCGAGTGTGACACATGGTGGCCATGGTCACCATGAGTAAGCGCTCAGTGAAGACAGTAAATGCTAGCGCGTACTAGGGGGCTTCAGCTTTTCTAGCCTGTCGGGTCAATACTATAACCTCTCTCCGCAACCCACTCGAATCTGCCACTCAAACTCTGAGAAAGTTACGGATTCTCCTTGGCCGTGTTTATTATGAGTTGCGGTCATACTCCGTGCGTTCAACACGTCTTCTGGGCTACGGTAAAGCAAGTCACGGTCAATTTAGCCTTAGCTTAAGAAGTATGCTCAACAGTCCGCGTGTAAGCATATTCTCAAGACGTTCGAATGTTTTAAACTGGACTGATTCCAGGAGGCTAATTTGCTCATTCAACTGTGGAATATATATATTGTCCATGTATGTGAGGTTTTGAGTTCATATGGTGTACAGTTGAGTCGTCCCATGTTGAACTTTAGCTCTTATTTTTGTTGCCGTTTCTTCTTTCATCATGAATTTGAGTGCGAGAAGCTCGAAATTAATCGCAAACTTCACAAATCAGCAGAAAAGGTGGCTCCCTTCACAGTGGCGCACAATGGACGAGTTAACGAGTTAATATCATCTGGTGCTCCCTTCCTCTGCGCCTCCATCGCACAGACGGGCTTGTAGCCTACGCCACAAGAATGGTACCAAATCGCAAATGATCCCTTCAGCCTACGTCAGCGTATTCGCAGGATAGACTCGCACCAATTATTTAAGCCGGTGAGCGCAATGGGAGTAAAAATGATGAGCATAGCCATCAGCAGGGAGCCGCCCACGCTCACAGTCGCCCGGACGGCCCATGGCATGCACAGCTTATAGGACCGACGCCGTCATCCCGTACCGAGAGCGGTCTCTCCTGACCGGGATTGTGAGCGCACAGCGGAGCATATAAGTACAGCGCGCGTCGGTACAGAGCTATCTGCACGCCAGCCAGTCACCTCTAGGACTTTTCAATCAGCCCACCAAACCCACTACATAATGAAGGCCTTTGCATCCTTGATCGCCATCACCTCTCTCGTCGCCGGAGCGACAGCCCAGTTCATTGCCTCTATTTCCTCTCCGGCCAACGGCACTGTTATCGCATCCGGCGCCAACTTCACCGTTCAAGTGCAGGAAGGGGTACGCACTTCCTCAGTCTAGTATTTTATGCGAACGAGCGCTGACGAGCGAACCAACGCAACGTAGATCTACGTCGAGAACGTGAACCAAGTTGGAATCGTCCTGGGGCTTGCTCCATGTAGTCAAGTAGACTGCAATGCATATGATGCGTCGCAGGAGGTTGGCGATCTCCTGTACCTCGGACCGTTCAATCCACAGTCTGGGCCTGGGGGACCGCCATCAGGCGAGCTATTTGAGAACTTCGCCGTGCAAGCGCCAGCCGGAGTATCGGGTCCCTATGCGCTCAGTCTGACGCAATTGGACCTCATCGGAGTATGTATGCTTATTGTGTTCGTGGATGCGCCTATTGATATTAAACAAATAGGCATCGCATGAGCGAGTATATACAGTCAGTAACATCGTTGTTGAGCTCCAGTAAGTAAGAAGTGAAGGTTTCGGGGTATTATATGCATGATGTCGAGTCGCTGTGTTTAGTCCAATTAAGTCATACGTTATCTCAGCAGAATCTAGTCGCCACAATGTGCCATCTGGACGGTCTGGAAGCATCTCGAGGGTCAATGAAGTGCAAAACGCATTATTGATTAGAGATCTGGAACATACATAAGTTATACTTCTCGAATTCGCATGCGCAATGCGTGACTCCGCAGTAATGTTGGCGAGATTAGCATGGCCGGCTGGAGCGGGAAAATCCAGGCTCTCCAATGACATGCACCTGCTCATAATTGTACGGATGGTCAATTAGGGCATAGACAAGTGCATCTGAGCCAGCTTCTGAGTGCACAACATGGGTTCTGTACGGTGGGCTTTGGGTTTCTCTTAACCTTCTGCTAATGTTTCAATTTCAATAAAGATGTCTGCATGAAACACTCCATGAACCCCTCCGCCGTGCTGAAACACGACTGAACAAAATATGTGAGCAGTTATTACAGATCAACATACCGCCAGCAGCAAACAAGACGACAACGATGCCGATGAAGAGGCCCGTCATGACGTACACGTCTGGACGAACATGTCGTAGTCTGAAGATGACATACTTTCAATTGTTACTTCCTCTTTCGTTTATAAGTTGTTTCATACGGATTCTATAAGCCATACCTATCGTTTTGTTCCCAAATATTCCAATGCAGAATATCGTAGGCCCGGGCCCAATACATAACCAGATCGAGATAGTCTCCTTGGATTCATTCACCCTAGACATATGCCTGTAAAAGCTCACGGTTAGTTATAGCACCTCGCCCACGCGGTAGGAGTGACGATTATCTACGACAATGGTAGGTTCGCGTGGGAGAAGCATACGATGGGGCATGTGGCCTTTGTAAGTCGTGACTCACGTATAAATATGCACTCTGCGAGTCAGGAAACGAAGGGAGCGCGCTTGGTGATTTGAACGATCCCTCAATGTGTTGTATACAATGGTTTTCCCCGTTTCAGCCGAAGGTCTGAGATGCGTAATATTGGAGGAATATTCTAACCCGCCATTTACACCTTTCAGCAATTCATCCACCAGCAACTGGACCAATGAAGGGTTGTATCTAAGGACTAAGAACCGTGAATATAGCATTGCACCCGAGCACGACTTTTCCTGAGTGAAGCAGATCGCGAGGTACATCCCAGTCGATAATGACAGTATCCGAGATTATTGAGATCATACAAACGTCGCTGCATTTCAGCGGTTGCGCTGAGCGCGGCGCGGTGCTCACATTAGTTTCAGATCAGCATATCCAAGGGGGGAAACAAGGAACCGCTGCAGGTCGACAGACGGTGCTGCCCAGTATTCTGTGCAGAGTCGACCACCAAAGAGAGGGATTAGAGATCGCGCGGAAGCTGGTCGTCAATTGTCGTGGTTGTCGCTTTGAAAGAAGAGCCTGAGACTCGAGGAGCAGCCAATGTCACAGACGCGGTGTGACAGATCCCGTGTTTTGTTACTTACCGTGACCCTGCAACAAGTGCGAGCGCCATGAGTTGTTCTCCGTGCCATTAATCACCGATGAATCGAACGCTCTAACGTCCTTCCATTGTGCACACTTACCACATGTCCGGCAAGCGTGCCATGAGGGCGCCTGAAGGAACCACCGCGTGGAGTGCAGCTTGACCTTCAGTAACAGTAACATTCCTCTCATACTATGTCTGCCTCTCACTCGGTATCCGATGTTCTCAATGACTTGGCAGCTCAGTTCTCTCAGCTAGGAACCACGGAAGAGAAAATAACAGCCGTTCTCGCTCAGCTAAACAGTCTTTCCCCCGACATACCAGCCATTGGCCATCTGCATGCAGTCGATGATAATGCACCAAACGTCGGAAACGATTTTGCGGACGCGATGGAGGCTGGCATCCTCAGACTAATTGAAGAACATGGCCTAACGCATGATTTTCAAGAGATGATGATGAGCGAGGCGCAGCGGCAAGTCTCGAACTACAATGCGTCCTTAGATAGGTCTCCTTGTGCATATGTTGATCTGGAGAGTGGATTCGGTTGTCCTAATGAAGGTACTATGCGCTGTGGTGGTTGTAAATTAAATCCTTATTGCTCAAAGGCAAGTTTTGCATCATTATATACCCTGTGCTCTGAAGTCTCAGAACACTCTGTACAGGAGTGCCAAAAAAAGCACTGGCCTACGCACAGGGCAGGTAAGCATGGTTTGTGTGCGTATGCTTCGGGCCAATAACCTCATATAGACTGCAAGAATCCAATTCGAGAAGCAGACTGGAAGCCAAAATGGGTCGTTGAGAAACGTCGTCCCGAATTCATCACCTCTGGAGGTGGGATGCAGTCAGTATACTATGATTCGACTGGCAGCATCCTACAAAATATGAATTTGTGGGTACATTGCTCGTGCTTATTTGTTGAAGATTCTCAGTAAGCTCACAAACGGATTTGGGTAGATGGGGCAACATTCCCGCTATTGACATTCTCAACCTACATCACAATGAGCAGAACATCCGTAGTGACTTAGCAATAGCTTTCATAGGTGCGTTCCACGTTGATGTCGGTGTTGATAGGAATGTGACAAAAAGCAATGTTTTCAGCATCTGGCGACCTGCGTGATGTTATTCGCACTATCAACGAGCTACCCCCAGACTACCCGGGAGAACTCACTGTAGTGCTCAACGATTCTAATCCTATGATTGTCGCCCGTAATCTTATTATACTTCTACTTTTGGGCATGATCGAAAACAAGCATCAGGCCGCGGACATCGCAGTCCACGTCTGGTATTCTGCTTTCCTGCCGAACTTGTATCACACGCAGATACAGCTCGTATTCCAGAATATTTTGTCTTCGTTCGACCACGCGAGTGGATCGTTGTCGTGTCCTTTATCCTCCAAGTCTCGTCTCGAGGGCTGCGTGGGTCGTGAGACGTTCTCTACCATCGCGCAGTGCCTTATATCGGACGCTGCATATCAAGTTGGAGATGCTCAGAATGAACTCTCTCGTGCACGGTAATGTCGAAGCATAATCCTCTGCGATTCCGCGCTGACTAATTTATTTCAGACTATATAATACGAGTGAAGATCGGCTTCACCGTCAGTATTGGCCGCTCGAGCCATCTCATCGTCTGGCCTTCCACGAATTTCGGACGTATGGACTACTACTTCCATTTGGCGCTGCGAATGCGCACTTCAACTACCCCAACCGGCTGTTATTTTCACCTACTGGCCAATGGCTACAGCCAAATAAAGTGAACCCGTTGGATTCTTGGCAGTGCGTGCAATGTTCCATTTAACTTGCACTGGTCCTGTCTTCTCACCTTCGAGCCAAGTATTCCGTCAGTCATTAAGGCAGGAAAAAAGCACGGTGCTCTCCCGATGGACATATACGGCTGCATGTATTTCTACGTCTCAGACCAGCTGCGCGAACTTGCCAACCGTATTTCCACTCTTCGCATCACGTTCAAGATGTTCAAATTGGACGCATGCGATCTTGCGTCTGACTTGCGCTCTGGGACGCTGGCTCAACATGGTCTTCCCGCTAGCATCCGCTTCGATCGGGTTGACGCGTCAAATTTGATGGACCCGCATTATTTGGGCATCGCTCCCGTTCTCGGCGCGTGGGGTCCCCTGCTCAAACAAACGCGTCATGCGACGCTTCTCGGTCACTTTATGAACTGGGTGTCGCACCACCCCCGGGCAGTACCTGGTATCCAAGACCTTCCGCGACTCATTACAAAGTGCAGGGAGGGGAAATTGGTATGAGTCAGCTTAGAGCATGCTCGCCAGCACCTAATGGATTGCCGATAGATTCCAGAGGCACCTCCAGGGAGCTCCAGGGAAGTTCGGGAAGGTAAGAGCCATGACTGTTGTCTGAATCTGTTCTCCGCATACTCATACTGGCTTAGAGTATCTACAAAAAGCGACCACATGTTACAAACAAGCATACAACACCCTGTATGACAACTCCACCGCCTTTAAAGAGTATCTTAACAAGCAGGACATCTCTTCTGTGCTCACCAAGTCCGGGCTCAAACTGAAGCACAAGCATACGGTCGTCCCTCATGTAGGTTGTCCATTATCTTCTGAGATACATTTGATCTGATGGTGGAATAGCGACTTGGAGGATCACTGAAAACCCCCAGCGCACTACCCTCATTCCCGGATACGCACAACTGGTATCTCAATGTGCGTTCTATGCATTACTATGACTGTGTTGTTTGTGATGACCTCATCCCACTTCAGGTGAAAGTCAGCGATCATACGTGGTTGGAGCGTTATATGGAAGTTGCTCGAGTATAACGCACGAAAGTATGTGTCAGATATAATGGGACAACCGGCTACAGGAATCAGAGTCTTTACACAAAATTGAGACTTCATCATCGGCATATGTCTACGCCCTTCCCGAACGCCCACGTTAGAAGTCTTTATGATCACGCAGTTGCTATAGCATCGATGTCAAGGCTTATCGTTTCATGAGACCCATGGACTGAGTTGACTGGGCACAAGTCAGCGACACGACTTTGGCCGTTGATGAGCTAACCGTCTACGGCCGACCCCAGCTGGCGGACTCAACTTGTCCATACCATCTATCTCCGTTCTGCATGCGTTTCAACATACTTTAGATATGACAAAAACATGGCGTGGTACAGAAAACGCGGTATCGAGGACTAAGTCCGGTGCCTAGTATTTTGTAAATTACAAACCAGATCGAGCAGGAATAACTGACTGTCCTAGTAGTAGTATGAAACAAGAACGATGGGACACAGGCAATCAAGTTTGCAAAATGTATGAGGGAAGTAACATGTGCAAGTGTGCATTTATGCACTATGATCACGCCGCAGGTCGGCACGCAAGGCCATGAGAGCCTTGCCAAGCTCATTCCTACCTTTTCCATCTGCGCCAATGCCCCAGAAAGAGTCCACCTACATGGTTGAGTTTCATGAGACGATCTCAAGACATGTTGGCTCACTTACTGGACTGTCTTCAATCAGTACTCGATCTCCAGTATCGAGCAGCATTTGCCGCAAGTGTGGGTGTTGATTGAACTTCGCCTCGAGTACCTGACTCATGACAGCCATATTCACCTCGAACCAATCTGATCGCTGCAGCCGACGGAGACGTGTCGCCTCCTCCAGAGCAGCACGCGATGATGGCAGTCGCCGAATGCGCTCGGCGAGATGTGGATGACTTGAGATAAATTTTGAGGCTTGGAACACTAAGGGAAAAGTGAGTGCGAGTCCACGATGCACAGGGAAGGACACACAGTGTTCGGCGGTAGGATAGACATGACCCTCATATCTCACTGCATGTGGAGAGAAGTTGGTAAATCTGGGTGTCCGCAAGACCTCATGAGGGCGTAAGACTCTCTGAATGCCGAAGACCTCACTCGTAGTAGGGTTTGTCCCGGTGATAGAATAATATTGGTGATGCTGGCCTCAACCGAGAGCGGTGGGACGACGCTTGCGGTCGAGGGCGATGAGACGATGCGTGAGGTTGTGGGCGGTGTCTGTGCGAACGCTCGCGGTATTGCTTTGAAGATCGCAAGCGAGTCATCTCGCGTTCTGCGTCCCGAGACGGGCGAGGGGCGAGAACTTGGTGAAAGTGGCGATACGAAAAGAAATATTTGAACACCTTTGCGGATGGTGACCGGTCACTTCACACAAGAGGTGCATACCTTCAGGTCCGTCTAAGCTGTCTGTGTCGCTCGCATCAGAAGAACATCCGAAGAGCTCAAGGAATAAAGACCACAAGATATTGCACATGGACGTACTGGATGCACCGTTGGTCGCACTTGGCTCGAGTTTGCGGGCAGGCAAGAGGGCACACTGCGGGCGAAGCCGATGCGGGCGTCTGCGGGCCAGTACTTAGAGCAGATTGCCGAGCTCGCGGTTTGTCTCTCACCCTCACCGTGCCGAACGGTGACAGACAGAGGGCTCGACGCCTTGCCTCGGACTCTGATCCCATCCCAACACATCCTACTTGCTGTGCTCAAGTGTGGCCAGTGTTGCGATGTGCTCCGATACGTCGCGAGGCCCGAATACTCTCTGTACTTACCCTGGCTGCTGCAAAGCTGTCTGGCAAGATCCTGATGGTTCTTATTCAGCCTACTGCGGAAAGACTCATCTTGAGCTTGCCGCACACACGAAATCTGCAAAGGTCTGCAAGGTTTGTTATCTTCCATTATCGTTTTACTTCTGATCTCCAATCGTGCTAACATCGTGAGTGATCAGTTTTGCAAGTGCCAACCCGTCTATGTTGAGAATGGCAAAGGTGCAGTGCGCTGGGATTTCCACGTTGTAAGCTGCTCATTGCTACGACATTTGGTAGCGCACGACTTCTGCGGGATGCGCTGCGCAGCCAAATCTCGCCGTGGAGAGCAGCCGAAGACTACAGTCCATACATCGCTCGCCCTCACTGTATCCGTAGGAAGTCAATGTAAGATGACTGGATGCAGAGCAAAGGTGTTTGTAAGCAAGGATGGTGTGCCCAGTGAGTTTTGTTCGAATAAACATCGTCTGTGAGCGTTCGTTCTTGTCTTTTATTGGGCGAGGCCCTTATGACTGTCCAGTGAAGCTGTTAAGACGGGAAAATCTGAAGGATGTCTGTTGTGAGTGTTAGATTGTGGGGCCATTAGGATGATCTTCATCTTTGAACAGCTGCGTCACGCGGCCAAAGACAATTGTGAACGGAAAGCTTAGTGATTTTTGTTCAAAGCAGTGTGGCCAGGATGCTCAGGGTCTCGGTACGAAGCGTTTCGTCATGAATGGCCACGTAGTCATGACGAGCAAATACAGCTCCCATCATTCTTGGTATACCTAATACGCAGTTAACATACAAAGAAGGTCTGTGACTCAACCGTTCTACTGTATATGACGTGTCTTCTGATGTCTGGTCGGCCAGTGGCTGAGCAATTCGTTGGCGGATGGAAACATCCGACATCCAAGCCGACTGTTGTGAAGGTCATTAAACAAGATTTTATGCAGGCTTCAAATCTGATGATAACATTATCCAGATCTGGAGAGTATGTTGTGAAAAGGCGCATAATGATAAGTTTTCGCGTTATAAGTAAGTTGAGTGATGGGATCTGTGCACAATGAGCCTTACCGCAATGTCACACAGGCTGGCTGTCGAGCGCCGAACAAATCTGCCTGGTGGCAACAGTCACCGGCGCTGGCATGGCACAGCACGCGCTTGCCTTCTCGGTGACAACGAACAGGAGATGGCACTGTGCCTGTCTCCTAGTTGTTCCCTTTGTGGTATTTTGCGAGTGCGTGCTCACCTACTTTGGAAAGTGGCCAAGTGACCAATGCTGCTCATCGCTCGTTTTAGTCGTCATTCCAGGTTTCCCTAGCGGGTCGAGCAACAGCTTTCCAACGGTTTGGTCGAGGCATATATGCCTCTGCGACTTCTTCCAAGGTGCGTTACCAGATAGACTTCGCGTGTAGGCCTATGGTGTTGATGGGAAAAGCTCACCGTGCTTACATGATGTGTATCTTAGGCGAATGACTATGTCCAAGAAATCGGTGGATCTCCGTACAGAGCAATGCTTCTGAATGATGTGGTAGTAGGGAATGGTAAGAAGATGTTCAATGACGATCTCTCTCTCACTCAGGTACGTATTCACGGCCAGCTCTACCGACTCCCGATTTAATGAGATGACGATGCTGTAGCCTCCTTCTGGATTTGATTCTGTTCTGGGCGAGCCCGGAGGTGGATCTCTTAACTATGACGAAACCGTCGGTATGTTCTATTCCTTGTATCGTTTATTGAAAGCTGACTTTGGGAGCTTTGCAGTTTACCGAGTGAGTGACGTAGTTTATCATAGTTCGCTTTTTGGTGTTGACGGATTTCTTTGATAGAATGATGCCATTCGTCCAATGTTCTTGATAATTTACCGATCTTGATTGGTAATGTTTGCTGTTCAGATTGTTCATTGTCACAGGTTCTTGCTGCAAGATTTCTTGGATGGGATGCTATATTGCTTTGAATGTCGCAGATTTCAGTGATAGATGATAGACTCGGAATTGTATCAGTGTGTAACAGAAGTCGTCGTGATTTTTCTTTCCTTTCAATCAAAAAACAAGTTTAGGCTGTGATACATGTTTTGCGCATTGTCAGGCCTGTGGAACTGAGGCTCGCATGAGCATCTGAATTCATCGAAGTACAGTTTCTCGCACCAGCAGGGTGATCGACCTGGTCCTCATTCAGGTACCACGCTCCTGGGAGGGATTCGTCACTTCAACTAATACACCGAAGGATAAATAGCTCTTACTATCTCCTGTCATCGTTTTCTCGTTGTACGTCTGCCCATCACCGAGCCAATGCATCCGATTTCTCACACCATCTGCAAGCTCGTAGTCATAATCTTCCCATCGAGGATTTTCTAAGGCGCGGATTGCATGAAGACAGGATCCTGTAGCCAACCATGTTGGAAAAGTGGTGTATCCGCATAGATCAAACGCTGACCAGGCCATAGGGCGACATTGCGCCCATCTTCCTTCCCCATCTTATACCATGATCTGCAGCGTTCGCTGTAAACGGTCTAAGCAATCCCGTGGTCATAAGTAGAGGTGACCTAGACCTGGAGGTTGCTGTACGTACGTTCGGGAAATAGTGCTGCCGCATGCGAAGACATTGGACTCAGCTCGGCAGACAGATATCTTCGATGATTACAACTCACTTCTAGATACTCGTCAAAGTCTTGGACGGCCCTCCTCTTGATCTCAATACTTTTCAGTCGTTCTCTCTGCAGCTTCTTTGTCGCCTGCACAGCGTAGTCGATCTGGCGTTCGATGACCACCAGCAGTGAGCCCGAACCGACACCAGAATTGGGCCCGAGCGCCATAAACCAATTGGGGAATCCATCTGTGCACACGGCGAGATATGTGGCCGGGTGAGGCGACCATTTCTCTTGAATTGTGATGCCATTGCGCCCAATCATGGGAAAGTCAAGTTGGTAGGTGTAGTCATATCCTTTTCAGCCAAAGTCCGTCAGTAACGAGCGGAATTAGTGCATAAAAGGAACAAACCCGTTGCGCAGATGATGACATCGAGATCTTCGTGTTTCCCGTCCACAGTGGCAATTCCATTGCGCGTAATGCGCTTGATATGAGCCGGTATGAAGTCAACCTGGAACATCGAGGGATAAATTCAGTGAAAAGATTAGAGAGCGATCGTAAGCTAACATTATCTTCGCAGAGGGCTTCGAGATATCCCGGGCCAGCTGTTAGTCGTCTGCACGCGACGCCGAAATCAGGAATTACTGCATTCGAAGCAGGTCAATCATGGGTGATAGACATAGGAGTTCGACTTACGGTAATCTGCTATCCAGGGCTTCTTGGACAACTTCTTCTTCATGTGCGACGTAAACGCTGTACGGGCCGCAAGTTGTTGCTCAGTACCTTTCATGATAGCATGGTGCACGGACTAGCATCACGAGGTTCAAATCCTGTAGACACTTCACGAGATAATGGCAAACGACGTACATTCAAGTCCGATTCAAGCTCATGCCGAAATTGCTTGTAGAAAGCAGGATCTTTGAAAGCTTTCTTGTTCTCTTCAGTGAACGTATCTATCGATGGTTTGGTATCAGTGACTTCGGTAATGATCAAAGTAGACAAGCAGGCACAGTTTTCCGCATCGGGGTCGCGCTTCATCAGCTCGGCGAGCTTACTGCTAGAGAACGGAGTCGATATCCACGTCTTTCCTTTGACATAGGTGATGATCTTAGCAACTCGTGGCTGCAGCGCAGGCACGATCTGGATTGCACTTGAGCCCTGAGAACCAGAATGTGTGTCCATTGGGATCAAATGGAGCAATATGATCTGGATAACCTACAACACCAATGACACCGACTCTTTTGTCTTCCCAATTCCGCGTCGCCTCTTGCCATGTCTGCTCGCCGACGTCGAAATCTGCTGTGTGAAAGAGCGATCCTTCAAAATGCCGCAAACCCTCAATGTCGGGCCATTTCCACCTGCTCAGGCTCCCAATGCCCGTCACGAGGATATCCGCAAAGTCTTCGAATTCTTCGAAGTCTACCTGTTCAGTATTCGGCTGCTGGCTGGGAGTAGATCTGCGGATACGCAGATGCCACTTTCCCGTAGGTTCGTCATACCGTGCGTGGACAATGCGGTGCTGGAGTTTTATATAGCGCATCAATTTGTATTTGTCGACAACAGATTGCAGGTAGGCCTGAATCTCAGGGCCGGGCGCATAGAAGCTGGACCAGTTGGTCTGAAAGCAGAATCAGTAAATTACGAAATAGCGAACAATCAAGGTTTACGTACGTTGACCTCAAAGGTTAGCTGATACTAGGAGCGTATGAATGTCGAGGCTTTACTCTAAGTAAGGTGATTATACGTACACAATGCGACGGAATATCGCATGCAAGTCCACTAATGCGTCAGATATGAACCACATTGCAATTAAACTGGCTATCCCATAGAGATTGATACGACTCACGGGTATTTGTTTGTGAACCATGTTCCACCTATGCCTGCGTTCTTGTCGTATATCGTGAGGTTAATGTTTGGTATTTTCTGAGGAAACCTGGAACGATGTGAGTTCGTGAACGCGATCAAATACATTGAGAGAGTACATGCCTGATTCCAGCAATAATTCCGCTGAACCCTGCACCGATGACGACGACTCTGATGGGCCGATACTCATCTATGGAGAATCCACCCAGCTTAAAATCGTTGCCTCCAGCGAGGTCATTCGTGAGTATCGAAGATTCAGGATGAGAGGCGTCACCCATGATTTAGATACTTGGCGGCAGAAAAGAGAGGACGAGTCTTCCGTTTGCACTCCTCCCGATAAATAAGTACCAAAACATATGAGACGAGAAAGACACACCAGATTATTCATCGCGTACCCACTCTCCCTTGATTCTTTCTCTTAGCTGTGTGAGTACCTTACGGCGGTAGTTGTCTCTCATGATCATGTGAATCCGCGACACAGAAGGAAAGCGGGAAGAATGTCATGTTGATCCGGATATTGCCCAGTTCCCAGCCTACACATCCAAGACATCAATAGCATCAAAATTCTATGTCCGCGCAAACGGACATAGGGCGCAGAGGCGCCTTGGCCAACCATCTGTGCTCAAAAGCTCATAGAGTAAAAATTATATTGCAGTCAAAGGTCAAATATACGGACTAGTAAGTTGTATTCATTGGTGAACTCGATTACAAGCAAACTCTTCCGAAGATTTCTAAGTCCTCTTGCATAATCATGTGATGAAATCAGCCGATGGGACTGTGACACTTGAATAGCTCTGCGCACCTTTTCAATCTTGAGCAATTATCACGACCGGCCTTAAACGCTTCCGGACCAAGACATTGCCGTCCTGACGTGAAACCAAAGCTAGCAATACCAATGTGGCCCTCCGTGCCGATTTAATTTATTGTTGTTCGTGTTATCATTCCCGCATATCCATTCTATGCATAGCCTGTCTCTGAGAATCCCGGACCGAAATGCTCTCCAGGCTTGTTGTACATACTTCTGAGCCAACGTTAGCTGGCTAGGTGCCTCCTCCTCTTCTTTTGAGTCAAAAACAATCCATATCGACATGACAACGAAGGGATGCTGCTCAGCCAGGGTAGAAAAGAGATGAGCGGTTCTTTCTCATAAAAGGCGATCGAGGTAAGATGTCCATGTTGTGCCTTTACGATGAAGCGTAAGATGGACTTCTTTAAAATTAGTGTGATAAGGCCTTATGGAAGAGAGGACGTCGAGAAAATCAATGTTTCGCGTCACTTTCGAAGAGCGGATCAGATACAATGACTCTAATTGCTCGTTGTTCCCGAAATCAAGGTCTACGGCAAAGTTACGGGGCGAGAGAGAACTGTATATGTCCTCAATGACGAGATGTTCCAGTGAATTCCCCGCAAGACGGAGGATGTCTTGGAGGAATGGGTTCATGGATAGAATCGTACCCAGCCTGCGCAAACGAATTATGGGATACTGAACCAAGAGGTTCAAGTCAGCCTCCGAAAAGCAAACGAGAGTGTCAATGGCCTGAGATTCCACAGCGGCATATGTGGAATTTTCTGAAGGCAGGTGAGAGGCTGCAGGGTCAAATGGATGGCTGACAACGTTCTCCAGAGATAGTGTCTCGAGAGCAAGACAAGCTTCAAGTAGATGGTGAAGATCAATCCCTTCGAACATGACCCTCTTCAATTGAATGCTTTCCAGAACAGGGAAGAGGACTTTCAAATCAAGCGCAGTCCCACTCGGAGCACGAAACACGACGTCGGAGACGACAAGATGTTCAAGTCGCGAGAGAGCCGCAAAAGCCCGAGGCCATTGATATTGGAAAGTACTGGTCCGCATGGAAAGTGTCATGGATATGGTCAGATGCCTAATTATGGATCCGATGTATGGCGAGTTCCCGAATATACGTTTGAAAATGTCGAACCCTATGTCTCCTCGGACGGAGAGCGTAGAGAAGAGATATATACGCGTAGTCGGAACCCACCCACGACACACGAGTGAACACGCCCGGAGCGTGCCGTGGTCGTCGCAGAGATTTCCCAGAATCTGGTCGCATGTTTCCTGAGGTAGTAAGGGGGGTCCGCTTGTTGCCATTCCGCTATTTTAAAGTAAATCTAAAATGAATGGGCGACCGCGGCTACACAGCGATGGGTTTGCATAACTTACGAAGGAACGCAGCAGCTCGCTGCAACACCTTCCACAGCACCTCAGCCAATTGCTATTTAAGGTATGTTATAGACGGTCGACACGAGGAGTAGCCGCTGCGGAAATCTGAAGTGACTTCAGCTACAAATGCAGGGAGGGGAAGAGAAGATAGTGAACAAGAAGATAGGTAGAAAGCAACCTTATTTCAAGGCGATATCGTCGTGGGAGAGCATCTGCGCACTCAATATTCATCACGTGTCGGCGTTAGCTTTTCATTCTGTTGAACGAAGCCGAGGTACATGCAAGATACTGCTACTGCAGAATAAGGCTTGGTGGTGCTTACCTGAAATTTGTTTCGCAAGTTTCTATTCATCGTGCCATCTTACAATGTCTTTGGAAAACCTTGATAGGCATAACCTTCAATCTCACTGGGCGGCAGTAGGCATATGTACGTCTTACCTCTAGATCCGGTGTCATCGTGGTCTTCAGACAGGTGGATTGCCACCAATTACCATGTCAATATGTTATCGTGCTTGCACTTCCCCACGCCCGTCCCGGAGCCTCCGACGCGTCAAACTTTCAGAGATGGTCATTCCGAGTCAGAGTATACGCGTTGTGCGTACGAGAAAGGGAGCACAATTGTAGGTCCAGCCAAGCAGTAAAGTCTGAGTCCATGACAGACAATTCGGGAGGGCAACGGACTCGGCGGAGAAAACGATTCATTTTGGGGCATTCAGTTGACTAAGCTTCGTGCGCGCTGCTCGATGCACCAATTGCAGAAGAGGAATGGCGCGTCAACGTACTCTGAAAACGCCGTAAAGGTGCGAAAGGGAGCAACATCGAGTCTCTGGCAGTGAGGTGTGCCCCTCCATCTGTGTGCTTCCGTCTTGCTATGTGTGGGCGTCAATGCGACTGTCAGGATGCGTACGAGGCTCTGGGTAGTGGGCGTAAGGTTCTACCTAGAGAACTGAGACGACGTCTCGCGTTCGCTTCCCATGTGGTGCGGGCGTGGATGGCAGCTGCTATGCCAGCCGGTGCCGGACGAGGACCTCGTGGGTATCCGTGCTCTCTAAGTGGCGTTCGCGGCGGATGGTGTAGGTAGAAAACATAACGTGTAGTATGGTAGTGCAATAGTACTGGGTTGTCGCGCGTACATAGACCTCTGTACCGGGTCGAGCGTCATGTGATTTACACGATCTTTACTAATCTTAGATCTATCCTCCTCCTCCTCCTCCTCCCCTTTACATAATTGCCGGCCACCGTGAGTGTGGCTGCACTTAGTAGGTACCGTCGAGTCCGTCGACCCGAATGTCAACCTTCTGGCGCAGCACCCGTGAATCATAGTAAGGCTGATTGTAATCAAGTCTAGCTCTAGCATTGCGAAAGTAGCTCAATCTGTCATTGTTATGTCAACGTTTGTCTAAAACATGAGGTACATGAGGTCTAAACACCCGGGTGGCAGTGAATATGACCGCTGACGTTCGATCCGCGTAAGCTGTCGAAGAGTAAATACAGGCACATTGTTGGTAAATAGATGGCCAAATCAGCAGTAGATACTGCATCATCCCGGAATTCAATTCATTTGTAGCCATCCTCCCACCAACATTGACTGGCCTGGGGAAGACCATTTCATTGTAAGCGAACCCGC